TCATATATTAGATAGATAGATAAACTTTATTCCGGACTCATGGTCCAATAAATACATAAATAAAAATAAAAAAAATTTAAAAAAAAAGTACCATTATCGATTAAATAGGATCTTTAAGAAGACAGGAATACCAGTGTCTCCACAGCTTAGACTGATATCGGATTGCACTACGTGTGGTATCAGTAAGTGACAAAATAATATCGTTTTCAGATGCATTTAACCTACAAATAAACTTATTCATTAACTTTTGTAGAACAGCTTGTAGGGTGTTAACTCTTGCTGTGACAAACATCTCACTTGCACTGGTCCATCTTGGACGTTTTAACACTAACCGCATAGCATCATTATAGGCCACCTGCAGCCTTTGCAGGTTGACTTTTCTATATGTAGTCCACAGGTGAGCAGTGTACAGAGAGGTACAATATGCATTAAACAGTTCCACTTTGACTTTATCAGTACATAAACCGAATTTACGTGCAAGGGTATTAGCATGAGCGTACACCAATCTACATTGTCTGCAAATATCATCATCGTCTGACAGATTTTCTGTGATGATGTGGCCATATTGTCTGAAATATGTAGAAAATGTCAAAAAGTCATGTCTTTAAAATTTCAATATCATTGACATGTTGATTTATTAATTGTTTTGAACGATTGACTTTATTGATCTGACAGCGGATAAATTTACTCGTTACTGTACATCAGCTCAAATAGTCAAAGGACAAGAAGGTGCCAAAGGAAGAAAATGGTATATATAGTGTGTACACATATGACAGCTTTTTTTTTTTTTTTACAGCACGTGTATTATACAGGGTTATTGCACAGGGTTTTTACATAGGTATTTATATAGATAGATATTTAGTTTTGTAGTTATTGCATTGGGTGTCAAATATAGAAAAACAGATTATTGCACAGGGTATCAAGTAGTAATTGCACATTATACAAGTTATTGCCGTTGTATTTTCGCATTGTAGAGTCTGCTTGCAGCAGGGATGAATAGCCTGCAGTAGCGCTCCGTTTTACAAACAGGATGTAAAAGTCTTTCACTAAAGGAGCGGCTCAGCTCCTCTATAGACTGGTGCAGAGGGTGGAAGGTGGTGTCCATGATGGATGTAAGCTTGGACAGCACCCTCCTCTCAGCCGCTTCCTCCACTGAGTCCAGAGTGCAGCCTAGGACAGAAACGGCATTTCTTGCCACCACAGAGTCTAAGAAGGTTTTAAGCGGGGGCCTCATCACTCAAAAGGACTCAGCCTCCTCAGGAGGTGGAGGGAGGCGGCTCTGGCCCTTCTTATACAGGGCTTCAGTGTTATCAGTCCAGTTTATAATTGATGTGAACACCCTGGTATTTGAAACTCTCAGCAGTTTCCATGCAGGGGCGTATCTAGAAAAATATTTATGGGGTGGCGAGGGGGGCAGGAATTTTTGAGGGGTGGGAACATACGGCATTTGTTTACACTGAATTTAATCAGTTATCACAGTTTGGTGAGAATAGTATGTACAGTAAGTGTTTCATGTGAAACAGTTCATATTAGTAATACATCATACAATGTGATCTCACTTAATAGGAGATAGAAGAATGATAACACTACTTCTAGAAGGGCCTTATCACAGGTATTAAGGTAAGACACAGGTGCTGAGTCGCAGATGTGTGAGATTGACTGTCAGAGATGCAGCTTTGCAGCATTTGCACAAGAAGAAACTATAGAAAGAAAAAGTTTCCCATCAGAGATCTATGGACTGAGCTGTACTAAAGTCAGCATCACTACACAGTAGAAATAAAAGGGTCAAGGCGCCCAAACAAGGTACTGGACATCCATGTATTATTTACTCTGAACACAAATTTACCACATTTGCTCCTCAGTAACTTGTCATACAGCAGTTAAGGCAACATGAAAGGGACATATCAACAAATCAACAAAAAGGCAGGTACTGTATGTTACATCAAAATCTCCACAAATCTGAAAAGAAGCAACATAAAAAATACATTTTGCTTCCAGTCTGAAAAAGTACTAAACATTTTGAGAGTAGGTTGATACAGGTCACTTCTGGATAGTTTTATACTATGTATACAAAAAAGAAACAACAACACTGCTTCATATTAAGCAGGATTTACACCAGTATCACATTTTTAACTTTACTTTTAACACTTTTGGTTTTATTAAAGGAAATATCAGATTTTCTCAGGTGGCAAAGCAAAATGTAACAGCTCTGTAAAGGCTCACCAGAGAGCATAACATGAAGTTGACATGACTATAACAGCTGAATGCAGCGACTTCCATGCTGCTCCACAAATCTATTTAGATCCAATGCCTTTGTGCGTTTTGATTTGAGTAAAACCAATTCTGAAACTCTGATATAATTCTAATGCTGAACTCGTGGATTATTTCGGTTTTGGTTGTTTCAATTTGTAAGAAGAAAAACAGAAAAACAACCTGCTCTATGGAGATGGAGATTTCAGGTTCCAACAGGACTTGGCGCCTGCACACAGCGCAAAATCTACCCGAGCCTGGTTTACGGACCATGGTATTTCTGTTCTAAATTGGCCAGCCAACTCCCCTGACCTTAGCCCCGTAGAAAATCTGTGGGGTATTGTGAAAAGGAAGATGCAGAATGCCAGACCCAAAAACGCAGAAGAGTTGAAGGCCACTATCAGAGCAACCTGGGCTCTCATAACACCTGAGCAGTGCCAGAAACTCATGGACTCCATGCCACGCCGCATTAATGCAGTAATTGAGGCAAAAGGAGCTCCAACCAAGTATTCAGTATTGTACATGCTCATATTTTACATTTTCATACTTTTCAGTTGGCCAACAGACACAGAAGATGTACTGTAAATGCTACTGCAGGTTGTTAAAAAAAAAAAGTCCCCTCCCTGCTGGGCTCTGAACCTGCAAGATTCTTGATTGGATCCACTGAGACACAGTCTAGCTGTTAGCAGGATGCCTTATCTGTCAATATCGGAAAAAAAAATATCGGGATTAAGACCAAGAGAGACATTTTTTATGCTCACATTTACTGAAGGAAATGAAGGCCTGTTTCCAGTGGTGGTTCTGGGTAATTGTTACTGGGATGGCCAAGGGATGGATAAGGGATTTCCAGAGGTGGCCACATTACCATGGTGCCTGATCGGTGGCAGTTCCAGATTTTTTCTTATAGAGGTGGTCAGGCACGGGTCAATGTGTACTGAGGAGTGGCTGAAAACTGACAGGAACCAAAGGCATCTTATGGTCAATCTATCCACCTTATTTTGAAACGCGGAAGTAACTCTGGGTCCAACTCTGAGTCTTTATGAATAATATTTTTATTTTAAATCAACAGATTGTGTGCCTTTTTCACTATTAACTGCATATATTTTTGATATACAAATATTATCATAATATATTAAAAATAACTCATGGTAGTTTTTAAACTTTGTTTTAAAGGTGCAGTATGCTGTGTCGAAAGGTCTCACTGGATGGTCCTGCACAGATGAGCAGCGGCACTGGAATTCAGGCAAACAGCGCAATTTAGTCCCTAAAAGGTTGAACAATATAAGTTTTCAGCATCACAGAGAAAGTTCTGATTTCTCAGAGAACATCCACCCCATATCACCTTCTCTACCGCCAACCCCTGCCTACACCTCTCATGAAGCCTTGAAGGTGAGTTTAGAGGCTGCCAGTATTCCACTGGGCAGCCTTCTGCACAAATGCATTTCTGCTGTCCCAGACCAAGTTGTAGCAGCACACACACAGCTCCAGCAGCCTCATGATGAACATGGTACTGACAAACGTTGCCAGAAATGCATGGCATTTTATGACAGGTACATTAAATTAGATGGGGATAAATGTGCTGTTTTGGAGGAGTTGACTAAAATGCAGAGTGCATCCCACTTATGGTTTGATGCACGTAAATTAAGAGTAACTGGTAGCTCTGCGAAAAAGGTCCCTGTACGTGCCTCTACTAGGCCAGAAAATTTTCTTAGAGAACACCTGTTTCCTAGGTTCCATGGGAACACTGCAACCAGGTATGGCCAGGAGAATGAGGAGGTGGCCTATGCATGGCTGGAAAGCTGTGGGTTTGTGGTAGAAAAGAGGGGCACCGTAGTGAGTGTCACAGAACCATGGCTTTCTGCAAGCCCCGATGGTGTCGTTAATTCAACAGAGCTGCTGGAGATTAAATGTCCTGTTCTGACCAAAAACTGTGCATCTCTGGCTGATGTTTTTTCCAGCAAGTTCACAGATGTGAAGATGGTAGATGGGGTTCCACAGCTGCAACAAAACGGTTCCCGTGGGTACTATCTTCAAGTCCAACTTGGCATGTTTTGCACACAGCTTGAGAAATGCAAGCTACTTATGTGGGCTCCATCAGAGAAAATTGTTATTGATGTCCCATTTGATTTGGAATATTGTTTACAAATTCTACCTAAACTCAAGTCATTCTATTTTAGTCAGATGCTGCCAAGGATTGTAGATGAGTTTCTGGCAGGCAGACTAACACTGTGCAAAAAATATGAAAATCTATGTAAATAAGTTGAGATTCTAATCTTTAACCCACAGTATGTGTGTGCCACACCAGCTTTCCTGTTTCTGTGCTATGTGATGTTACCCAACTGTTAACCGTTATGACCCTTTGTTATGCCAGTTCCTTGGTGTTTTTATTTTTATGACAGAATAAGAATTTGTTTATAATAATTAAAATGTTTCCATAAGTGAAGTAATAAAATAAATTTGTAAAATACTGCATCTTCTTGTTTGTTTATGCACATAAGATACACTACAGTTCTTTACATCTGGGTAAGACAGACTGATCAATATAACTAAGCACAAATTACATTGGACTGAACAATTTATTAATAGAGATTTTATTTGGACACATGTTTTTTTGTATCTGTAAACTTAAATGTCTAACAATAATTGTGAACACCTTTTTTATTATAATTCATCAGTAGTGCACAATATAAATCTGGAAAAATAACTATGTATATATGTATATATGTATATATATATATATATATATGTATATATATATATATATATATATATATATATATATATATATATATATATATATATATATACTCACACACAAAGGAAGGCACAATCAAGGCCCCGTAAACTGTCAAATAACTATATACAAATTTGAAATTTCAGTGGAAGTCTGGATCTTTTTGTATAACCAAAACCTGCATGCTCAATCAGCATCCTCGTGAATAATTTCACCCTGCATGTTTACAAGGGCTGCACAGATCCTCAGGATTTTGTCCATTTTGTATGCTAAGTTGATTGGTACTGTCTGGGAGATAATTTTGAAAACTTTCAGCCTCCGGATGACTCTTTCTACATGTATGCGGACATTTGCTATCCTTCTTGTCGCAGTTACATCCTCATCAGACAACTGTCCTCCTTTACGAGTGAATGCAGGTAGAACAAGGTTAACTTTTCTCTCAAAAAGCAAATCTCTGATGGGAAAACCTCTGTCTGCCATCACTTCATCACCAGGACGAAGATACTCCAGGAACCCAGACTCCTGAGTGATGAACTTATCACTACACCTACCTCCATAAGCAGGAGAAATGAACATAACAAGTCCACAAGGGGCAATGGCAACTAAATACTTAATAGTGTTACTTGAATAATAATGGCCGTATGACTCCCCTCTGGAGTCAAGGTTTTGTGGTTTCTGCAGGGTGGTTTCAGTGCAGTCAATGATGCAGGTGGTGTTGGGGAACGTCTCCCGGAAGCACTGAGGCATTGTGCTCCGGATTGTCTCCCGTGGAAGCCAAGGAATGTAGATCCTCATGTTCTCCTCCATTGTGTCGATCCAGTAGGAGATGATCCGGCTCACTAACCCCTGGGATACAGCAAAACGTTCTGCAAGATCGGCCTGGAGTAGATTTAACTTAAGTTTCATTGTGGTCATCAATATTTGATCCACTAAGTGTGTCTTAAAATTTGCTTTATAGAACTGTTCCAGATATTTAACAAGATCAAAAAAGGCACAGAGAGAAAGGCCTGTGTATAATACACAGCTAGTGTCATTCTTCAGAATGCCATGGGCAAGAGGTTCTTGTCCACCACATTGTGTTTCTCTGTTGCATACATCCTTCTTTTCTCCTACGTAGGTGTGATCTGTCAGTGCCTGAACCTCCCACTGTGTGTCAGCATCTTTATGCATCGGTGACTCTGACTGTGAAGCGGCTTGGTCAGCCCCAACATCACAGTGGCTGTCATCTGTCAAGCACAAAACCACAAAAGCCCACAATCAGCTTAGCAAACATAAAACATATAGAGAAAATGTATATGTCAGAGCTCATTCAAATAATCTTATGACATGCATTCCTTCCAACATTTATAAACAGCTAGTGCTAATATCTGTGGTGCCATTTGTACAGTTACACAGTCAAAAAGTAAAAATATTTTATGATTTATAGCCCATATTAATAATAATGATGATGAATATTCGTCTTTATATTAATTATTGAAATTTTCTTTGTAAAATATGTATTCAATTTGCTAACTTAACAGTTTTTAAACTAAATATTTAGGTCTAGATTACATATATTGTTTACAAACTAAATGTTATGTTTACAGCTAAATAAATAGCTTGGTAATCTAATTTAACTTGTATTTATTTAACTTGGACTATGGCATTTAAACATATATAAATTACATCACAATATCAACAAAATAACCACAGTTTTATCTCTTGACAGGCTAAATAACCCAAAATATTGCTGTACATTTTTGAGTTACTTTACAGACGGTACTCCATACAAGCAGGGATTGAAAATATACAGATAGACATAATAAATATACAGAGAGAACAAACTTAAACGCTGATTTCATGTGAGAGCATATACGTAAACACGAGGGACACAAACGGAGAAGAGTTAACAACAGCAATCAAAAATGCTAAAGCTTACCTGTGTCTGCCCTCCTCTTGAGGCGAAGTTCATAACCCAGCCACTTTTCTGGTATCGGGTGGTCTGCTGTAGGTCTCTTGTCGACGAAGTGAAAAGAACACACGAACGGTCGCTTCGGTGGTTTCTTCAAATTCAAAGCTTTCAACCAAAGACGAAAGGATTCTTCATTCTTCGGCGGGGGGTGAAAGTCGTAGGGCGCCTCACATCCACACTCAGCTCTCGTACGCGGCCGATGAATATAACACTCCTCCTCCATGTAAACCTTTCTTTTACGCCAATTATTGTGACATCCTCTAACTGCACAACTGATCCCGGTACTCCTCGAAGTCGTAATTACGAATAATTCGAGACGAGGTGGGCGCATGTGTCGCTTTCCAGCAAGCTATCCAGTGACCGGAAGTGAGCGGGCGGAAGTCTCGCACAAACTCGCTGCCTCCGTGTTTCCGTCAAAAATAAGGTCAAAATAAACCAACAGGGAAATGGACATGCACAAAATCTATATATTCCAGATATTATTTCAATAGTAGTATACTCTGACATAGGCTCACCGACTTTTCTTTCTTTTCTGGACAAAATAATAAAATGAACCAGTGTCCCCTGGATACCAACATGCTAGCTGCAGGTGTAATTACTAATAAAAATGTAATTTAGAATTGCAGAGTTGCATACTATATAATGACGTAGCATAATAAAATAGACAATTACTTAAGTAGAAAACAAATGTCTTAATTTAGTGATAACCTAGGTTTGGAAAACAACTGACTGATTAAACAGGAGTCCTTAATCCATAGGAATCCATAATGACCTGGCGTGCAAGGAAAAATAAGTTGAATGTAATTTAACTACCCTGGATATTTTCTTCCATATTCTCTTTCCTTTGATGTGAGAGCACACTTATGTCCTATATATTATTGGAAAGATTGTTAAAAACCAATACACATAACATCAGTACATACGTTTTCATTCATTTAAGTTTTTGGCAGAAAGAAGAAGCTCTGCCGTTCCTTGCTGCCTCTCTGTTTGAAAGCAGCTGCAGGCTGACTTTGAGGATCTTAGGCAGACACTATCCAGCCTGGTGAGAGGCTGCAGCTACAGTACACAGCGTCTCTGATGACTGTCTTCCCTTCAGTCACACACTTTTTTATTTATTCGTGGGTCTATTATGCAGGGGGGCGCGCAAGAGGCTACACCATGAGAAGAGAAAACATCTGCATTCCTCTGACCGATTAAAGCCAGCGGCTACTGAAAGATAGGAAACCACAAATTGGCTCTAGATTAGATATATGTTTATGTAACAACTCTTCAAGGTCTTAGATACAATCTATTTCATTTGCAGGGAGCCAAAAGGTAAACGATCACACTGGGCCAAACCTCAATGACGCTTCAATATAAAACCAGCACTTTAAAGAAAACATGGTACATACAAACAGAAGGAGTTGGAAAATAGCAAATATAACTCTCTAAAGGACTGGTTTGGACATGTCCCCACCAACTTTGGGCATGGACAGGACATTTCCCACCAACAATTTCCACTGATGATTTTTGAAGTATAAGGTTCAATATATAGACTTCAACTGTCAATGACAGATGAGAGAAATTTCTAAATTTAATTTTACCGCATGTGAAGGAGAATAATCACTGATGCAGCTTAAAGGGAAGCCATGCATGGATGAATGGATAGAATTGCAGTTGTGTTCATATGTATGATATACTGTTCTGGGTATCGGTATTGGCTGTTATTCCTCATTTTTTATACATTAATGTTTTTGAGCCCTTAAAATAGTGCACTAAAGGCAGGCATCTGTCTTTAACTATATAAGTATATCAGTGTATGGTACTCTTGTGTTCTCAACAATAGGAAAACATTCAATAAATATATGCTTGAGCTCATTTTTGGAAAATATAAACAGCTACTCGGGTTGAGTAGCTGTAGGTCCATCAGCCCCCACCCTTAGAGCGCCCCCACCAACTTTCATTGCAAAGTTACACCCTTGCCCTGCAGAGAGAGAGGGCTATAGAGTCTCCAAAGAGCCGTTCCATGTGCATCTCTGCAATTTCTTTGCATGCAGAATTTCTGACTTGCTGTGGTTTCTCTTGGCAGGAGTTTTAGTGTTTATCTCATTATTCTGTTTGCAGGACATTTTGAATATGCTGTGAATTCATGCATTTTAATGGCTTCAAACTCTTTTTGCAAATTAGGGCTACAATGCCGTGCCAGTTCATAAACCTTCTCAGTGTATTTTTATCATATCAGGGCAAGTGACTGTTTTTTGGTCATTTCATTAATCACATTATTTGGCATGAAAAAAAAAATACTACAGAAGTAATGGTGTCTTTTTCTGTCCTCCTACAACCCTCTTGGCTTAAAATATTTAATGTCACAGTATTTTAATGAGTGCCCCTGTAAAATATAAAATATGTTTTAATTTTAGCAGCCATAATCCATAAAGAAATTTGCTCCGCTTTCCTTTGCACTGCACTAGGAGGGATAGCATGATTTAAACTTTAGATGGGGGGAGCCCTGAGGAATGCAGGGAGCTGAACAGTGCTGCCTTTGCAGGTGGGAGACTTCGAGCACATCTTTGGTATCCAGTACATGTATTTAAGGTTTTTCAAAAACCTTTTTTATTTATGTGTCTAAAGCAGGACATCCAAAATGCATTTGGCATAAGAAAGTGAGAGTCTTGCTTTTGCAAAGGTTCTAGTCAAAGTCCAGAAACTTAAATCGCTATAGCAATTTGGCTGGCATCAGTTTATGATTTTATCAAATTTCAAAGTGTATAGGGACTTTACAGAGTGGGCGGTCTGGCAGGCCTTTCTGCACAATGCATCAGGTTACTGGAAACCACGATATCACAGAATCCATAAAGAGGAAATCGCCCCTCTGATTAAAAACAGTTTTTTGGAAACAACCCACAACATCTGACATTCACAATAACATGAATTCCAGGTTTCTAGCTTTGCAGTATCAGTCTACGTTTGACAGACTGGATTCCTGTAATCATTCTCTACAGTTTAGAAATTTGCCATTTAAAGAAAAAGATCAGTAGAATTAAAATGAAATGCTTCACCATCTAACCCACACCCTGCTGTGTTCTGTGATATTCATAGTATCAGTTTGACAGGAAATCCTGTTATTCTTCAAAGCAGAAAAATCGACTCCAAATAAAACCAGCTTTAAATTTAAAGTTGAACTGTAGTTTCCTCTGGACTCTTTTATAGAGATATGAGTGCGAAGCATAGAGCATATTTATCTGCATCATCTCTATGTTAATGCTTAGACAGTGTGCAGCTACATCTTACATATCCATATTTGGAGTCCCTCAGCTTACAGCTGCATGACAATCCCATCCTTACCTTAGGGTCTCAGATCGCTGGCCTGGAAATATGATCCAAACCAAAGATGAGGCTTTTAGTATCAGCTACTCCCTAATTAACTTAGAGATGTTTGAGACCAAACTGATAAAACAGGCCAGAGTCACTCAAACAGAGTTTATAGTAAGTGAAAAATTTCCTAAAATTATTTGAGCTGTTTCTTCACTTTTCAGCAACTGCTTTTACTTCAGGGTCATACCAAAATTGGAAGATGTGTTTACTGGCTGTGTTTTTCCTCTCTATTGTCGCCAATGGACAATAGAGTGTGAGGGATTGCATTTGAAACAATGGGTCGATGAAAGAGAAAGCTTTGAATCAATCTGGTGAACTGTAAAGTGACTTGAGAAAACATGTGCTGTGAATTGGCGCTATATGAAAAAACGGAATTGAAATATAATTGAATTTGATTTAATTAAAAAAATTTCCTGATGAAATGCTTGATATAGAAGCCATTAAAATAAACAAGTCCAGAGGATTAATTGTATCCAACCAAATTTATTTCGTTGGTGACTGTTAAGATTTAAAAAGGAACATTTTGTTGCAGGGTTTTATTCCCTAATTTGATCATGTTTTAGTTCATATTTGTGCTTCTTACATACGGTATATCTTTTAGCTTTTTACAAATATTTGTTTTTCTTTATAAAGCACATTGTGACTTTCTGCAAAAGGAGATTCGGGGAAAAAAATAATAAAAGAAAACTTATTAATCCCAGCTGTACCTTAGAGTTTGCATCCCAGGCACACCTCTTGTTTGATCCTCTACATTTCCTAGTCAACCATAAATCTTCTTTGGAAGGCATTGCATTATCAATGTAATTTAATGGTTTAATGGCAAAGGCAGCCAATGGAGTAGAAAACAATTTAAAGCTGTAAAAGTGGATGTGTGGGTGAATAAGGAGGAAAGTTGCATAAAAGGTTTGGTAACAACAGTGAATAAAAGGAATGATTCTCAATGACGCTTTTAGTATCTGATGGATGGACTGATCAGGGAAACAAGGACAGCATTTCTCATACTACTCACTGCCATATCTCAGATATATGGATAAATTCAAAAAATTATTTTGTTCCTACATGCAGACTTATTAGTTGTTGATTATTTTAAATACCTGTGGGCATTCACTGGCAGTGATGGGCAGTAGCGCCGCTACATGTAGCGAAGCTATTAGTTTAACTACATTTTCCAGTAGCTTGACCGTAGCGTCGCTGCTTTATTTATCAAGTAACTTTCCAGTAGTGACGTTTTTATTTTTATCAAGTAGCGACGTAGCGTCCACAAACGCTACAAAATCCAGGGCAAAACTAAGTAATGAAACCAGGTTTTCTATTTTTGAAACAACAATCGGAGTTATTTGCTGGACATTCACGCTGATCTTTAATAAATGTTTTAACCAGTGTATCAGACTCATTTTGAATTGACATTAGCTTGGTACAAGTAGCTTCTGATGTAGTTAAGCTACTTTTAACACATTAGTGTAACTTAGCTTGCTATAATTCTTTAGGTGGTAGCTTTGGTGTAGTGAAGCTTAATTTATTGAGTAACTGATAGCTTAGCTCACTACACTGGACAAGTAGCTAGCCCAACACTGTTCACTGGTAAGAATCATCAGGAACTACAATAGGTTTAGAACTGTAATAATGAAAATAAACAAATGAGAAAAAGCAGCACATCTACAGCATGGGCAAAAACGGTTTCTTTAGCTGTTTCCTAATAAGTAAAGTGATGTTAAAGCACCAGAATATGTGGAGCTATAAATTTAACTAAAATTGTTACCTAGATATATAATTAACACCCAGAAAAATTTTCTGCAAAGGAATATATATAATTCAGGGTTTTTTTTACACATTTTTGACACTTTTATATAGGTCAAATAAGAAACAGTAGAATCTCAAATTAGCCAAAGTGTTTTTGTATTGAAAAAGTATTATGTTTTATTAAAATTTTCATTCAAAGTTTAAAAGTATGAGAACATTAAGTTGAGGTTTAAAATGCCCCCAGTTAAATGTCAGTCCATTCATTTTTTAAATAAAAATCACTGATTTAGGTTTCAAGGCATATTTTATTTACAAAGCACACCAATAAACATTTTTCTTCAGATATATTACATTTTTAGAATGATATATATATATTTAAACTTCTTGTTCTGACATTCATTGTGCAAACATTGTAGGAACACTCATTAAAGATGCCATAAGAACCGAACTTGAGCAGGCTTTTAACTCTGCCTCCCACTTAGAAATGGCATAAATCTAGAGATTTAGGGTTTATCATTAGAAACCTCCAATGAGTTGCTGAGAAACACAACAGCCGGATATCAGCCCCACCTCTTTGTGTTTTATATCCAGTCTAAGATCAGATTACCCAAAGAAACAAACAACAGTTTGTTAAATTAACTACAGACTGAAAACATTTTCATCCCTTATTTTTTATAACTGCTGCGTTCATTTTAAGGCTCTTTGTTTTTATAAACTAGTTTTTAAACCAATAGGAGCACAAGTAAGAAGTGTCTTTTTTTTCTCCACACAGGGTCAATAATCACACAGACTCATGCAAACACCTACAGCCCCACTGATACTTGGTTTGTACCTTCTGCTGTTGTACTTAAACAACACATTTCATAGCCGCCAATTAGCTTCTGGCACATTTCTGGCTGGATATTTGTACGTTCTTCCAGGCTGTATTTCCTCCTCATTTCTGTCATTAAACTATGAACATTTTCTAGTCTGCTGTCACGAGCAGGATACTACTCTCTAGTTTGCTTAACATTGCCCTGACAACATAACTTTCATGAATTTATGTTGATTAGGCCTCAAAATAATTACATTAAAATCCAAATACATGTAACACTGAAATAAGAAAGTCCGAATCATTTCCCAAAATATTCATAAGAAGTGTATAAATTGTGCAGAGTATTTTAGAGGCCAATAGAGTTTGGCTATAGATTTAAACAGGTTGCTGACCGTCATCATCCCTACACTCTGTCGCCTAGCAACCCTGACAGTTGATGTACTGAGCAGGAAAAGAATGGATACACATTACCCGCCACATAACGACAATTTTCATTAATTTCAGGTGGAATCATTCACACTCTTGTTTTAAACTGTACTTACAATATTCATCACTGTTAAGCGCCTTTTTCCTTTGAGCAAGGAGCAGCCGGCTTGCTTGAACTCCCAATGAATCATGGGATATCCAAGGCTACATAGGATACACTGGACCTGTCCTCCAGACGGGCAAAAAGAAGGCTGCTTTTGAGGAGTCTTCCAATCTGAACAGGCTTCTGGGGCACGCTATGCTTTAATCGGCCAAACAATCTGGCCTTCGCAGGACGCAACCGCGGAATTCGAACTCAGCAATTAACGGTTGCATAACAAAGTGTGACTTTCACCACCTGAAGGGCCAGAATGAAAAAGCGTATTCTTCTTATTAAGTGCCTCCTAACCATAATGTCAATATGACAATTCCTTAAGTGTTTTTTTTTTCTTTTTTACTCTGATTACATTGCAAACATAATTAATGGTCCAACTCTAGTAAAAATCTTCAGATTTTAATTAACTCCTCCAATTCTGCCAAGAGAAGCGTTCAGATATCCAACCAGAAGTTCCCTGCCAGCTAAAGCACAAACTTTTCACCAAGATGCAGCTTTTGAGGGAAACTACCAATTATTAGTGGAGGTGTTTGAATCTACCTAACTCCATATTAATTACTGAGAAAATACACAGTAAATTTAAATTATGCGCTCAGTTTTCATCACATTTGTGTGTTTTAATAAATAAATCCGTAAAAAAAACTAAAGTAAAAACAAAAATAAGGCCACGAAGGAGAAAACTAATCTTCTTTTTCAAAAGGTAGGCCTTACTGAACCAGGATCTACCGAACGCCGTCGGTTTCTGGTTTAATTGACTAACTCCTTAACTTCATAGGACCCCCTGTGTTGTTCTCACAAGCTGCATTTAAAGGCTACATCTTTGCACCAGCATCTCCTCTGTTTGACTCGGGGGTCAGAGGTCAGGAAAGGGAAGGTTTAGGCTGGTATTTCACTCGGTTGAAGTCGTCGACTGTTGTCTCTACCGGAGGTTTCCTCCAGTGTTCCTCCAGGCCCAGAGCCAGGCACAGAACTATGGCCGTTATCTAAAACACACACATTCATGAACCTCTCCATGAAACAAAAAAAATATTTAAGCTAAAAATGTATATTTCTGGTAATCAGCAGTATAATATTTCAATAATTATTAAATTTATCTTCAATACATTTCAGGCCTAAATTCTCTTGGTGTCTCCATAAAATCCAAGTATGTTTAAAATTAAACAAATAGCTAAAAAGTGCTGGAGTTGCAAACAATTTTACAAAAGTAAAGAAATTACTTTTCATTGATTTTTTTCTGTTTCAGATCCATAAAACTATTAAAAGAAGAGAAACAAACAGGAACTCTTTAGTTACCGTAATGGTGGCGAGAGCAGAAATGATTCCGATCCTGAGTTTGACTGGGAAGCCCAGGTAGCTCTTTAAGATGGGACCACAGGGCTGAGGAAAAGATCAAAATCAATTATCAGTAATAAGTTTTCCATCTTTAAACTTTCTGACACAAAAAGGTGAAATGATTTAGTTGAAAGAAAAAAGGGAAAAAGAGGAAATGAGACAGAAGTTCTGGAGGAAATATACCTTAGAGTGAACCCAGATTTTAGTTGACGTCTCTGGAACCTGAAGATTATTTTCGGCCATCATGCAGGATCCCACTGGGTTGGAGTTATTGGGCTTAGAGCTGTGAAGCAACAGAGATGACAGTTAGAATGGGAACCTGCAGGTGTTTGATAAACAGCATCAGGTTCAGGATAAACCAAACAAAAACCAAACAGCTGCTCATGGACTTCAAGCAGCGCCATCATGGATCTGTATTCAACAGATGTTTCGTTTTATTTTCTACTTCTGTTGTTATTTTAAAGATTTTACAAATATGGCCTATAGACAGGGCACCATTTAATTCAAATTGGATCTATCTAATTAACAAAAATTTTGTCTTAACTAATCTAAGTATCCAACAGACTCTTACCTTCTGCCTTAGATAGTTATTTGTTTTGTCTTATTGAGCATTATTTTTCCAAACAAATTTAGAGCTTTTCTGCTTCATAAACCTATAATTAATCCATGAGTTTTCTTTATTCAACTTTTAACAGAACCTTTTCTGTTTCTATGGACTTAGCATAATCATTTTTCTCTTTAACTCATCACTCCACCCAATTACAGCTCTTTTGCATTTAGGAGATAAGGAAGAACAATTGGAAATATAATAATAAATGTATTGAAATCAGATTTCACTTTATTTGAAGGTTGAATATTTTGAAAAAAAAATAATGACCATTAGGTCTTTAAAATGAGAACTGGTTAAAAATGAAATCACTAAGAGAAACACAGGTTCTAATGTACAAACAGAGAACAAAAAAAAGGGGATCAGAACCCATGTTACTGTAAACTAACTAAGTAATCTGACTTTACCACCCTAAACAACAGCATTATTCAATTCTATTCTATTCTATTCTATTCTATTCTATTCTATTATATTATATTATATTATATTATATTATATTATATTATATTATATTATATATTCTATTATACTATATTCTATGTGCTATTCTATTATGTTCTATGCTATTCTGTTATACTGTATTGTATTATATTATATTATATCATATTATATTATGTTTATATTTCATATGTTTTTAATATTGAAAATATACCTTTCCAACCATAAAATCAGAAATATGTGCTTTATATACTGTATATGTTGTTGTTGATGAACTCACCTCAGGTCAGCAGATGGCGCACATGAACAGGAATCAGGAAGGTGTTTTCCCCAATCTTCAAAACTTCTCAAACCACAGCAGGAATCCTTGCAAACCATCGAAGTAAAATCAAAATGTTTTTATTGTTACTATTATTCTGCATCAGCTGAACAGGAAATACAACAAAAATGCTCCAGGAAAGTTGGATGCTGGAGCATTGAGTTTATTTCATTTACTAAAAAAAAAAAAAAAAAAAAAAAAAACATGTCTTCTTTCTGAATAAAACTTCTCTCACCGAGGCCTGGAGTTTCTGCAGTTCAGTCTGGATGTAAAGCTCAGCTCTATGAAGAGGAGTTACATTCAGGAAAATGTCATCCACAGCGCTGTTCATCTGCAGAACATAAACCAAACCATGTTATTAAAGGAAATATCTGGACCTAAACCAGAGAAGGACAACATGTAAACAGAATGAAAAATATCAAGCAAACCCAAAGGTGACTCTTTCTTTAATCCAGGTAAATTAGAAGGAAAAAAAAACGCACTATAAGAATAAACATGAACATCTTTTTTAGACAAACAATGGAACAGATATTGAGGAGTTGCATTTCCTTCTATTAAAATACTTTTTTTTCTCCACCATATATGTTGAACATTTAATATTGGATTTGGTACAAATATAGCAAAATGTGGATTCTGAAATGAATGCAATGAACCCCACAGTCCCCCAGAGGGCCCCAGTGCATAGAAAATAAAGTTACCTGTGGTTCAACATGAACCAATGGTGAGGCGACAACCATCAGAGCAACAAACTCCACAAATATCAGAGCAGAGAACTGCAAGAGATCATCACAGGTCCAACATTAAACAAAAAGAAGAAGGAGCTCCAACTATCTGTGGTTTCATAAATCACTTACAAGTTTTCACTGTAAAAAAAAAAAAAAAAAGAAGTAGAAGAAAAAAGTTTTATTCCCATAAACAGAAGCACCTTCTGAGAAATATCAGGACATTTAATGCTAATCAATCATTATTTCCCTGAAGGATTGATGGAGATAATAGATAAAAGATTAAAACATTACATCGAAAAAGAATAAGGATTTTTTTTTTTATTAACTAAATTATAACATGTGACTGAAAAATTTGAAAAAATTAGAAACTTAGAAAATTAAAAAAATATTAACTAGAAACCTTTTTAATATTTTTTTTTCAAATGTAAAAGAATGATTAGAAATAAATAAAAATTTAAAGCATAAAATTAATCTAGAAATATGCCCTCTTCTCACCAGCAGAAGCAAAGGTTTGTAGTTTGAAACTGCAGCACTGATGCCCAGAACAGACAGAACCACCGTGATTGGACCGAACACCTTCAGCGCCAGGAGGCCATCGCTGATGGAGAGCTGCTCAAACAGCTGAAACACAGGATAAAATAATATGTAGCCTTCAAGAAACACAGGAAATTAAAAGGTGAGTTTGGAGGTTTTCAGGAATAATTCAAATCAGACGTAAAGTAAGTTTTAACCAAACAGCTTTCTTGTGGGGCTCATTTTTTATTTAATCTGATTATCTTCAGCTAAAGTCAAACTGGATCAATGATCTAAAACATTTATAAATGTTTTTAGGAAGGTTAATCATGTTGCTCTTGATTTTCTGTTTGGTTCCTAACATGATAAAGGAACTGGCTGAACATTTTACTCTTTCATGGTCGATTTCTGTGACGTGCATCAGCAGCTAATATATTTACTGATGAACTTGGATGTATTTTAGAGGTTATGTGGAGTTTTGAAAAAAAAACAATAATCTGTATCAGCCTGGAAAGGCTTGAATAATTCATCACAAATGGATTCCTAACAAAAATCTTTTTAAATTAGAAGATAATCAAATGAAAGTATTTTACAAATGCCTTGTACTAATCTATGATTTATATGACTTCTTTATTACATTGTTTGTTTGTTTATTTATAATAATGCAGTAAAAGAAAATCAAAATCAGAAATTCAGTTAATTGTAAAAAAAAAAAATTACCATTTAAATCTTTTTGAACACAGAAATGTTGTCTTATGGAATTTTTTTCCTATTTCTTTTCCCCGTGGAGCAGCTGAGTACTCTGGCTGTAAAGTTTAGTGGAAGGAAAAACTATGGCAAAAAAGAAAGCTTCATAAGCAATGGTATAAAGATGTAAGTAGAGAGCATTGGTACCTGAACACACCACCACTACAAGCAGGAATATCTGTTTTATGATTATGGTATCATTGTGCTGAATTGGCAAGAAAACTGGTCTGACCTTAACAACATAGATATGATGATAGTACTGAGGAAGATGAAGGACGAACCAGAGACTGATGTCCAATCATGTTCTGCTGCTCTGATGCAGGCATTTATGCAAAAGGAGCCACAACCGAATATTTAAAGCAGTAAATGAACAGTGTGTGGATTTATTGTTCACTAACCATAACATATGTGTTATGAATGCATATATGAGTTCTACTTTCTGAGTGTAATTAGTAAAACAAATGAGCTTTTGTTTAAGATTTTAAAACATTGAGATCCACTTACAATTCTGAAAATATGCAGCAAATTAAAAGTTATTCTGAGCTGTAGAAATGTGTTTCTGATTAAAAACCGTATTTTTAAAAATAGGATCTACAACAGAGTGGCTAATGGGTGAGAAGGTCTTTATTTTAAGGGTGACATTGTTTTTGTAATTTAGATCCCTCCCTATGGGAGATGGGAAACATTTAATTTACAGATGTCAAGGAATAATAAAATAAAGTATAAGCAACATATGATTTTAATACCTCAGTAAAATCTAAAATCACATAGAAGTTTGTTGTTCGCAAAAAGCAGTCACAGAAAACTGATTATCATCTACAAAACTGTTACATTTCATTTATGGGTCTAATATTTGACATCAACTGCATAAGAAATATATACAATTTAAATAAGAGGAAGTCCTAAATTGATTCTCTGAGGAGCTTGGATTATAAAATACATTTAAAAATGCACGTTTTAGCTTAAATATGATTTCCAAAACAGTCCTATAATGTAATGCCAGGCCTACTTGTTCCATTTGACCAACTATGACAGCATTGCGTTTAAAGATGGCCACATGTGGGCTAACCCGTTTATCTGCTAATAATTAGCACTAATTAACCTTTTCAGGGTTATTGAGAACTTTTTGTAAAATAGCAGCATCCCTCGTTTACCTTTTCAACAGGTACGTTGCCTTCGATTGATGAGAACCCAACACCGATCATCACCATACCAGACAACTGCAGAGTGATAAAGAAGAAACTTTATAAAACACATCCAACTGATGCATTCAAGTTTTATCACAGAGGGCAGAGCTTTTTAAAGTACAGGCAACATTCCTCTGTAACTGTTCCTTCAGCCCCAGGGGGAAAGTTTGATCGGATTCCCTTCAGCTGGAAACTCTGATGGCTCAGCTTCCTCCCATTTTTCTCAAACAGCCCTGGAGAAAAATTAAGTCCTCACTGCTTCACGCCTGGAACTCCAGGTTGTAGGAGGTGGATAATATTCATCTATGAAAGCTTTTCTACCCCCTTTCTGATTTTACAACATTTCTTTCGTATTTTGCCAAAAAAAAAAGTCTATATTCGAGGCCATTGAGAGATTGAAGCCTAGTGCACTAACATAATAATCTATAATCATTGGATAATTTATATCTGAGTTAGAAGAGGCAAACATACAGATGTACTTTAAGGCAGCACTTCTAATTTTACTGATTTCTTGTGTGACATTTGTGTTCATCTGATTAGAGAAATATGTTGCGTAAATATCATGGAAGAATAAGAAAGTTTCTGTTTCTGAGACATGAAGAGTTCTTTTGTAAATTTTGAGAATCAGAGCAAAAGATCCTGAAGAAAACAAAGAGAAGTCATTTATTAACACTGTAAAGGACTTGGACTGAAAAGCCACTCATTAGAGAAGAAGCCATCCCATAAAAAGTACAATTTAAACCAAGATAATATTTGAAAAATTCATTTGGAGACCTGCCTTGATGTTTGATGAAACAGAAATTACTAAAAATTATTTTTTTTAGGTTTGGAGGACATTTGAAAGCCTGAGAATAACAATGATGTACGACGGAGTCAGCATTATGATGTGGGAGTGTTTTGCTGCACTTCACAAAAAAAGAGAAAATTAATGTGGAAGGGGATATCAGTCATCAACACATCAGTAAGGAGGACAAAGCTCAGAGACGCAAAAAGGGTCTTTTAAATGTCCGAAGACTCCAAACAAACCACTGAGGGCCGGATTTATCAAGATCCAATTTTGCGTGCAGTAATTTGCGCTCGCAAACTGGAATTTTGCGCGAGGGGCTGAACCATGGTTTGCGAGTGATTTAACAAGAGCGATTGCGTAACTGGTGGAAGGTGCAAAACTGTTGGAGACGCCCTATTTAAATTATGGTTTTGCGCGTTTTGTGGTTTGCGGCAAAGTAGTTTGTAGTCTGTACAAACTAGTGCATTAAGAAATTTAAATCTTACAGTGACCCCCAACAAAAAAAATAAATAAGTATATATATATATATATATATATATATATATATATATATATATATATATATATATATATATATATATATATATATATATATATATATATATAATATATATATATATATATATATATATAAAAATTGGCAACCTTTATTCCCTAAGGTGGTATGTGCTGCAGTAAAAAAAACAAAAAAAAAAACAGGTGTTTTGTATTGGCCTGTGACTGTGGATGAGATCCCCGCAGCATTTGGTACGTTGCTCCACAGGCGCAGGGGGAGAACCCCGACCCCGTCGGACAGCACTGAAAAAACGAGATTGGGAGATCCCAGCTCACGCTGCAACCGTACGCTGGAATGACCCAGATGCAAAAAAATGCAATGTTGCAAGGAGTTTTGTGATATCTGGTATTGCGTGGGTCCTCCTTGTGGTCGGCTCCAAATCCATTCGGAGTTCCCCCAACAGCTCCAAAATGGCAATGCTGGATAAACGATATGTTTTGATGATCGTTTCCTCGTTCATTGCAAAAATATTCACACGGAGTGAAAAAATGCGTTCTCTGCGTCTCCTTGCTTTATTTCCATGTCTCCTTCTTGCGACAATAACCGCTGCCATGTGTGTGCAATTACGCATACAGACCATTTGCACCTTCTTTTGAAACGTGTTAAATATAGAGTCAGATACCGTTAGCAAAATTGCGTTCAGGTTTGATAAATCACTTTGCGAGTGCTAAATTAATATATTTACATGTTCTCCTCCCACAAGACGCACTTTAGCGTGTAAACGCCCCATATTGCATATTCATTGCAGAAAAAGTACTAAATGGATAAGAGGCGCTATTTAGCACGTTTTAAAGACCAAATCCTTTTAGCACGCTGTTGATATATCAGTTTGTACATTTTTTAGCGTGCGCAGTGAAATAGCTCACGTTTTAATACACGCAAACCTTTGATAGATCCGGCCCTGAGTGTTTTATAAAGTAGCTTAAGGACAACAAATTCAACAAATGCTTTAATGGAATAGACAGGACAAAAGTTCTGACTGAAGAAAAGTATCAGAAAAGGTGTATGTGAGAAAGCTAGTCTCTATAATCAATCCAATTAGCATTCTTCCTCTAGGAATGCACCAAAATATGTCTGAAATCATTGAGTTTAAAGATATAAACTAAGGAAATGTATGTTAAATCCATATTAGGGAATTCAGTAAATGAAGTATTCGTAACTGACCTAAAAGTATTACAAAAAGGAAGGAATCTTGTGTCCTTCTATAGAGTGCATGTGAATATTTGGTTTTGGCAGCTTTTGATTTAAACATGGATGGCTGAATGGGTCCCTGCAGATCCTTCAGTTTGCACGTTGCACTGGCAACAACACTCAAAATAGATGGAAAGGTATGCAACGTGAAAGAAACAAGCGCATGGCAGTAAAGCTAAACTCAGAGTAATGCACAAATTAAGACACAGACATCAGAAGTACCATACAACAAGATGTAAACTAAACTAAGCTTCGAAAACCTGATTTTTCCTTTCAAACAAACTTTAAAGAAAAATCGTAACCATGGCAGTGAAAGTCTCCTGAGATTTTCAGTCAAGCTGAAAAGGAACATTCGACGTAATCACTGTAATCAGCTGATAAGAAGCTCAGCAGCAGGAACAGGAAGCAGGAAAAAGTGAGCACAACGACAGAAATTAAATAAAAATAGCTACAGGAGCCAATGTAGTCACACACTGTGTTTCTGCTGGCGGACAGGCAGACAGTGGCCATGCCTTCAACCATGCTGTTAAAGGGCAGTAAAAAAAATATATGGTGACTGCAAAAGGTGAGGTTAAAAAAAAGAGAACTGAGACACTTTTATTCAAAGTGACGAAGGAAAGGGAAGAGTTTGCATGAGAAAGATAAGAAAGGGAAATGAGCAACGATTACCCGCTAGTTACACAACCAAACATGTTTTTGCAAACCCCTCATTTCAAAAACATAAAAGAATGATACAAATATATGAACTTAATAGAAATATAACTTTGAATCATTTATTATTTCCTAAATAAATAAATAAAAAATTCCCACCATTCCACCAAGTTCTACTCTAACCAATGTGTCAGAGTGTATAGCTTTAAAGCTATAAGAGTTCAAAGCTACATTTTATTTACAGATATAATAGACATAGTCTGGTTACAATAAAGGAAAACATAATCAAATTATGGAGGTTTCAGTTCCTCGGTAAAACCTGTAAGCACATAAATATGTCACAAAAAGCAGTGCATCATCTGTAAAACTGTAGAATTGTATTTATTTTTAGGGACCTAAAATCTTATATTAACTGCTTCCCACACTTATTGTAACTGCTTACTTTGAATAGCTTTATTTTTCAGGATAATGAATCAGCCTTATTCTACTATAGGCAATAGATAAATAGGAGGGGGGCTTAAAATCAATCCCTGAGGATCTAAAATATGTGTCATTCCATCCTAATAACAAACCCCATAGTTTGGCTTAAGAACCAGTGGAATTACAAAACATAAACTGTCGTTTGTTTGATGCTCTTAGGTATGTAGGGAGTAAGGGACAAGGGGAAGAATTCAGGGATTTCCAATATCTTTGTTCAAGAATGTGTAAGTTAGAAGAGATAGAAATCAAACTTGCTCCACAGGGCAGATATGGATGAGATTTTATGTGAGAAGTTTGATCTGTCGGAAGAATCCCAGAGACTCTGTGCCTTTGAGTTGAATCTGCTGAGATGGTTCATCTGATCAAAGGCTTTCTGGACATTCAGGGAAGACCCAGAACTTATCAGAGTCACTATACGCCTATGGATGCTTGATGAAGAGAGTAGGAGTGTCGTTTAGGAGGGAGATGTCTTGATGTTCATACTGGACTTTTTGGCTCAACCAGCTGACCGGATATAAACCAAGGCTGAAAGAAAGACAGACAGGTGGACAAAATATGGCCAATTCCCTGTCCAGTATGTTGGTTCTAAAGCTTCACAGAGGACACAGCTTTCCATCTCCAGGCAACATTGTCCAGAGCCGCTACGGGTGGCTGGCCTGTTCCAAGCAAAGATGTAAAGTCTTAGTATTTTCTTATGGTCTCTGTCAAGTCTATCATGTCCTGAATGAGTCTAGGCCACATTTAAAGCTAATTGAGCCAATTATAAATGGCCGCCACTCATGACATCACAGGCAGCAAGATATTTAGTTGTATCTGGCTCTTATAATGCCTGTAGTACTTTCTTGAACTTTGTCATAATAAACTTAATCTAAGATTAATGAAAGTGACTAAACTACAATCCACAACAAAATAATTAATATCAAACGAGATCCTTTGTCAAACGGAAACAAACCTTTTCACCCACCTGTTTAAACCCAGTGGCGTTGCACCAACAACCCCTTTAGAAAGACGGGTGGTCAACAACACAAACCAACTTCCTTGTCCACGAAAACAGCGTGGAATGACAACTGATTTCAGCAGTGTTTCTGCTATGCTGTTTCTGACAGGTTTGCCAGACATGAATCTTTCAACAATTGACTCAACATGGAAAAAAGAAACATTTACTGAAGGTGGGTGAGATTGTTCCAAATGAGGCGGCGGTGTTCGAGAAGTGGCACATTTGACTTACGTCAAGACTGAACAGACGTCCAGCTAGGCAGTTTTTAAATATGGATAACTTCATTTTTACACAATTAAAGTGCAATTCCAGCTTTGGGAGTGGTCTCCAGTCCGCTTGGCATTCACATCTCTATTCACACCGTGCCAGAGTTCACTTCAACCGAGCTGAGACCTAAGGTTTGAGGAGGAGCCGAGTTTGCTTTTTTGGTCTGAATCAGAGTTGGATTGCATCATCATAGCTCCCTATATGAACCGAACTTTTTGGCCAAACAAGCTATTATCCAATTAAATCAGACTAAACAGGGCTGGTGTGAATGTATCCTAGTTTTAGTTTCACTCAGCTGTTCTGACACCTATTCAGAAATCTTTGTCAATTAGATGATTAGATGAGCTTTATTGATCTCACAGCGGAGAATTTAACTCGTGACATTTTGGCATAGTAATAACAGAAGGTGCAAGCAAGGAGGAAAAAGGTGCATTAAGAATGAACAATATATATATATAGTATATCCAGGTATATACAGTATATCAAGATAAATAAGGATTAGGGTGCAAGTGTACATGTATCGTCCCACAATGAAAAACAAAATAAAAATAAGAAATATAAAATAAGAGTAAAAAAATAAGAATAAAAAAATACAAGGTAGTAGCACAGAGGTTTTAGGTTCTGGGTTATCAATATTTTCAAAAGGAATTGTAACTACGTGCAGTTAGCGTTTCCTACTATATGTATCCTGTGAAGATACGGCTTTAATTCTTTTCTACAGCCCATGTATCCATATAACGGTGTATAGATTGGCTGTAATTCCCTCCTGATGAAAGCAGCTAAATATCAATCTTTCTGTTTATTAGACCTGATGATGCTGAACCTGGTTTTTAGTTTAGGACTCAGAGTCATTTAAAAACATTGCCAGAATAGAGAGTTCAGGACACAGAAAACTGGTGTATGCTTTTATTTTCAGGGGGTTAAGGTTGATTTAACGGCTTCAAATACTTTATATGCATGTATATAAATCTATTTATTTGCTTCCCCTTAATTCACTTCGTTCAATTTCATCCACAGCTTGAAATTTTATTACCGGTAGTTACCTGATTTCATATCAAGATTATTGAGTTTCTTTAAGTAGTTAGATGATGCTCTAATTCTACGTACACTTTTTATTGTTTTGCTTATTACTAATGAGCAAGATTGCATTGTATATTACATACATATTTATATATATTTTAATAAACATATATATGAAATGAAATATTTTATAGATGCCTTACCAAAAAAGATTTGCACATGATGTTGAAATAATTTCAAAAGATGTGTTTATAGTTTGCATATTATTATCTAGGTTGATAATAGATTTACTTTTTTAAATAACTTAGTTGAAACCAAAATAATGAATACTTTTGTAATTGATTAACCCAACATTGCAAATAAAGGCTTCATCACTTTTATTATCAGCGAGTCGTTAGCAGTTAGCATTTAGCTTACCAGCAAGAGCACAGTGACGCAGATGGAGAGTCCCCGTAAGTAACTCCTGCAGCGAGCCATTGTGACAGCCGTCTGAGAGCCGAGCTGAAACAGAAACACAGCAAAGACCAGAGCCAGCTGTGTGTGGAAGAGAGAGAGAGGGGGAGAGGGTGGGTGTGGGTGTTGGTGATGGATGTTGTTTAAAGCTCAGGAGTGTTTGGCTGCAGAAACAAGAACATGACCAAGTTTGGAAGACCAGCTGAGAGGAGAGTGTTAATTAACCAAGGTGAGTGGATATGAACGCATCACATGCGCTCTGGATTCAATGATCTCTGCAACATCTTAACATGAGACTAGAGTTTGGAAAAGGTAGAAAAAAAAGAAAATTACTTGGCAGCATCATTATCATCATTTGTGGTTTTAAAACACCATAGTCTTTCTCCATTTACTAAACCACTACTGAAACCACATTTAACCTTTTTGTTGCAAACTATTCCTGGGGGACAATCCTATAAACAAGAACTTTCTGAACCTCCACCAGCAGTTTCAAGTGATCACACCACCAGAATACAGGTGATAATATTTTATTTCATGATCATATAATCTGTCAACCCTTTTTTCACCTGTTCAGCAGGGCTGATCTACATAAAAGAATAACTTTTTTTTTCTGGTTCATAAAAAATACAAGCCCAAAATGGTGTAGTTAGTGCTACACTGGGACTATTAACTGGTTACGACTTTGTACTCTGCACTGCTAATTAGTGTTGTGCCGATGCCATTTTTTGGCCCCGATACTGATACCCGATACCTGGCTGTGCAGTATTGGCTCATACCGATACCATCTGTTTGAAATTGATATGTGTATATATGAAGAACTGCATACTACTTGGATGTAAAATAATTGCCATCATGGCTTTATCAGGCTGCTGCCTGCCTTTGTGAAGCAGGAAAAAGACTAATACAAAGTGAATCCAGTAGAACTTTTTATTGCCTACCTGGAATGGGTGACAATAGTTGAATAAACTTTTGGCTCAAAATGGTATCAGTGCCCTATTTGTTGGTACTCGACAATACCGATACCACCATTTTAGTGCTGGATCGGGGCCCCGCCCGATACTGTTACCGGTGCAACACTACTGCTAATAAAGACACTGATAATGGAACAGCCGGGCTGAGGCATCAAGCTTAAGTGACCCATCAGCGTAGATATACCCACGATGCAGTGTTTTTTGCATGTTTAAATATTGCTTTAGTTTCATACAATGTCTTTCAAGACAATGGCTCAGCTTTTCTAAACCATCCACTGCTGCTCAGACAAGGTTCTCAGTGTCTGCAGAGCTAATAGCATAATCTCACTCTGTCTGGCAAATAGCTGTGTGCATGATGTTTCTACTTTTTAAACAATAAATTGTTTTGCTCTCATGAAAATGAATGGGAATCTGGTCAAGAAAAAATCTGCAAAACATTATTTTTTTTTTACATCTGCATACTTTCAGCTAGAGATGCTATTCAACATTAACAACATTAACTCAACATTTAAAGCATTTTCATAACCTTCTGGTAATATTACATAATTCAACTTTTTTATATATTTTATGTTTTATTCACAATTTTTCAGATTTCCAATTTTAGAGTGGGAATTCTTACTGTTTGTAATGTAGATGTTGGAGTGTGTTCCACATCTCTGAACAAGCACTTCTCATTATCACTCTATCCAGACAAATCTTATCTTTCTTTTTTATGTTTTTTAATGGCAGTAGTGGCTTGCTTATTGTACAGTAGACTGACAGGAAAGAGGTTATGAGAGAAGGGGAGATACAGCAAAGGACTACAGGTCATATGTGAAACCAAGGACTAAGGCCTCCGTAAATTGCGTCATGCGCATTAACCACTGAGCCACCGAAGCACATCAAAACCCTTATGCCTTTACATTTGAATTTCTGTCTCGATTCATGAAATGTAACCCTCATTGATAAGGGGTTCAATGTTTTTTGTTAATTTGACCCACAAGTCCATACACCCTAGAAATCCACTGGTTGATTATCCCAAAGCAGAGCCAAAAATCCCTAATTACACATTTTAGAATCACTGCCTCTTTAAGCAATAGACAGAATTTGGTAACAATTCAGTCAGTTTCATCATAGCCAATCCTAACCAGATTCTGGTAGAAAAGTGAAAATAAGTCTATATTTTCCAAAGCCTGCTGATGCTGACAGTGAGTTATGCTTTAATGTAGATGGAGTCGTGTGACAGCTATTTTTTGTCAGTTTTTGCTTTTCTTTCATTTTCCCTCTTTATTTCATGACTTTTGCACCTGTATTAAAGTTTTTTTAAATTAAAGACATAATGTTTTTACCCGTTCCTTTCTGTAATGAATGGTCTAAGTACGGCATCTCTAGTCATTACGGTTCATAAGATATGGGTAATAGTTGAACCCAATAACCCCAGCTGTTTAACACTGAGGTGCAACGAGTAAGACAAACAGCTGTTGCTATGCCGTCACCACGCCTACACTCATCCTTATAAAAACATGAAAAAACATTTATAACTCTCTAAACCCAGCTGCATCTTGCCGAAAGAATTATATTGATAAGTCTTATACTCTTTAAGAGGAAGGAATTTGTTTTTGTGAAGGAAGTTGTCTTTTCTGACTTCTCCCCATTCTTACCCTTTTCTCCATTAATTTTTGTAACTTTATCACAAACTTGTGAGTAATAGTTTCCCTTTCTATCCTGAAATGAATACAGTGACCAGTCTATTCTATACAGTTGACATGTTATAGACAGTTGATCAACCAAAGATTTCTCCGCTGTTGAACGCTGAGGGGCCCAGCATGCAACAGCTGCACCAACATTGTCATTAAACTTAAACAGCCATTATTGTTTTCTAAACTCACAGTGAAAAAATGATATCAATAGAACTTTTACTTTTTGAGTTAGCACTAGTTGTATTGGGATCTTGTGAGGGATGTTTTCACTTCGCTTTATCTTCATATATTTTCTTCTAAAAAAAACAGACATAAACCAGAGGTCACGGATTAGCGGACCAGAGTCTGGATCCGGACCCAACCGGTTTAAATCATTTATAAATTTCCGCTTGTTCAACAACATTGTCTAACTTCACTTGCACCACTTCTCCTGTTAATATGGTAAAGCCTTCCAGAGCGTCCGGCACCAGGCTGCACATGATCCAAATGATCCAATGAGCTGCTGTCAGTCTGGGTTGCTGCTGCTGCTACTTTTAGACACAGCAGGCAAACCTGTGGCAAGCCGGGCGATGGGAAAGAAGGAGAAGATGATGAGAAAAAGAGAGCAGAGAAAGTGTGGACTGCTGGAAGAACTACGGAGAAAAGTGAAATGGTGCTCAAAGATGATCCTGAACATTTAGAGGATGTTTGGCTCAACATGCTGCTGTGAAGCAGGATTCTCCACCATGAACGGAACCAAATATAAATATGGATCCAGGCTCAAAGTGAGCACCCAGAAAATGGCTTAGTCTCCATTAAAGGCACACTATGCAACATTTTTCAGTTAATTAATGTGTTCCATAACGTTTTGGATGATTAAATGAGTCATTTCAGGTTGAACAAAGGTATTCTCTGCCGCCCTGGTGGTCTGTGGGGGAAATACTGCACTTGCAATTGCAGGAGCACCGACCCGCACCCAGAAGTCTCGTGAGAGTCAGTCTTGCTTTACGGCGAGAACTGCTACACCCCCCAGTTAAAAGCATTCTCGTTGCTAGCACAGTGGCGATCTTTGTGCAGTTATGCTACGTTCACGCAGCAAAATCGTGTCGGCTGCTTCATTTTTGCTGCTTGTACCAGTTAGTTCTGACGTGCGGCTGAAGCAGTTTGCTGCTCTGGCTGTGCGGTGCAAAAGTGTGTCTGACGCGCGTTGGGCGGAGCTTCACTATCCTTTCTCTGCCTTGCAGCTATATTTGCTGTGATCAGTGGGAATAAAGTAGTTTTAATATGTGTTTAAATGAGAAAATACACCTGAAAACGTAATCAGTGCCGTCAGTTCATTCAGATTATTATCCTGCCTTCAATATTTTTTCTGTCGGAGCCGCTCAGACCCCCACATACCAGCGGTGCGCCGACAGTTGGGATCCCTTCATCAGCAGCCTCTGGCCAGGTCACACCCTTTCGGTTCACCGCGGCAGCTGGTAGGTGTTTTTCATCTAAATAATCCAAACTGCATATTCTGCCGGCAGTTTTCTGCATTTTAAGTTAATTTAGGCGTCAATAAACTGTTTAAGAGGAGAGATCATAGCCTCTGATCATCAGCGCTGTGTCTCTCTCCCTGCTTCAGCTGCTCAGACGCGCTGCGCCTGCTGCTCAAAACGCGCCGCGGGACCTTTTGCTGCGCCTTGACGCGCGTCAACCATTGACTTTGCATGTAAACTCGCTGCTTCTGTCGTGCCAGCTGCGGTGTGAACGCAGCATTAGTCATTCGTTGCGTTCGCCTGTCTGCTAAGCTCAAAACAACCCCGCCTGGCTTGACGGAGAAACCAAGAGAACAGCTGTGCATATTTACGACAGTGCACTTTTACTTTCGCCCTCTGGGGGGAGCCTCGCTGGAAAATCAACACCGGTTGCATAGTGTACCTTTAAAACCCAGGTTTAAAGCCTTGCAGGGCAGCATAAAGCCCACTGCTCACATTAAAGGAATAGTACACCCAAAACATGATTAGCCTTCATTTTCTACTCACCCCCATGCTGAACAACACTCTGGAGTACTTTTTTGATATCTCAAATGCATCTGGAGATCTGGGAGGCTTCTTGCTGTCTGCTGACATTCAAATAATGGAGGTCCATGGCGCCCGAGACAGAAAGGTCCATAAAAGTCCACAAAAACGTGTCAATATTCCTCCATACTGCTCGTCCAATGTAATCCAAGTGTCCTGAGTGGGTAGCATCCAGAATTTACTCGAAACGAAGTCATTTAGAACGTTTTAGATTCTAAACAGTAGTGTATAGGATTTCCTAATAGCGCCCCCATGCGCGCTCACGATTCTACGGAAGCCGGCAGACCAAACCGGAAGAAAGTGCGCATTCAGCGTCTGGTCTGCCGATAATGCAAGCGTAGAAGAAGAAATGTGCTGTTTACCTGTGCAAAGAAAGAAACAACGAAAGAAAAATGTCTGAGGACTTCAGTGATGAGGAAGAGCATGAGTTCTTTGCCGAGCTGAATGCGCTGGTTTGGTCTGCCGGCTTCCGTAGAATCGTGAGCGCGCATGGGGGCGCTATTAGGAAATCCTATACACTACTGTTTAGGCTCTAAAACGTTCTAAATGACTTCGTTTCGAGTAAATTCTGGATGCTACCCACTCAGGACACTTGGATTACATTGGACGAGCAGTATGGAGGAATATTGACACGTTTTTTGTGGACTTTTATGGACCTTTCTGCCTCGGGCACCATAGACCTCCATTATTTGAATGTCAGCAGACAGCAAGAAGCCTCCCAGATCTCCAGATGCATTTGAGATATCAAAAAAGTACTCCAGAGTGTTGTTCAGCATGGGGGTGAGTAGAAAATGAAGGCTAATCATGTTTTGGGTGTACTATTCCTTTAAGACAGAAAAAATAAATAAAAACGGTTAGTTCGGGTGTTTTATAAAATATTTGAATCAGGAAATTGTCTATATACCAAACTGAACGATTTTTGTTCTCTGCTTTAAAGAACACTGTTAATATTAAAATGGAAAATTTTCTATAACATTTTTAAATTATTTAAAAATTCAATGTATAACATGGATGCATAAAAACCTAATTTTATTTCTGTAAATTCTCTTTAAAGTCACAGATTATAATAAAAAATATCTCCAGACCTTTACTGGTTGATAATTTTCTTTATTCGGACCTAGCTGATTTTTAATATAGATAATATTGTTCCCTTATCTGTTGTCAAATAAACTCGTTTCAAGATCGTTGTCGATGGACCCTACGGGTCCTGAGATATGCAATGTTGTTCAACCAAATGAGTCTCCAAATCTTAATGAGCAGAGAGGGGCTAAATGAGGGTGAATGGCAGTGAGTTTCCATGGTAACGCAATACCTGTCACATTTTTGTATTGATGTTTTTACTGAAGTATACATGTAGTACACCTACACACTCAGATGCGCAAACACATTCACATCCATGTCCATGAACTTAATTTCATCCATGATTTTTCTTTAATGTTTCGCTACTTTAACCAATAATAGCTAAGCTATTCAAAAATGGACTGGATCAGTGATTCTCAGTCCCTGTCCTGCAACTTTTAAGTGCCTCCTTGGTGCCACGCACCTGACTTTCATGAAGTGATGGCTTCTGCTGCATTTCATGGCTGCCGAATCAGGTTTGCTGCAACAGAGAGAAACGTCTAAAAGATTCAGAGCAGTGGCTCATTAGGGTTAGAAGTGAGAACCACTCTGACTAGATTGTTCTTCACTAAAAGAAGAATATTACAACCCCTTGTTTTTGATTTGTGAACCCTTTATCTCATTTTTAAAGGTTATCAAATACCTATTTTAATGGCTTTTTTTGCATTTTGATCACATTCAAACTAGTCAAGCTCAAAAACTGCAAAACCTGGATTCTTCTAACCTGGACTGCTTTGTTTTATACTATCTGGGAATCTTTAAAATCAGTATTATATCTTACTTTATTCACATTAGATTTTGTCATGCTTCAACTATTGTTTGAATACTTAGTTCATTTCATCCAATTTTCTTCTACATTTTATGCTTTTGTATCTTTCTTTATTCCTTTTATTTCTAGTCTTGTTTTCAACGTTTAAACTATTTTAAACAGCCAATAACTTGAACTTTAGCTGTACCTCTCTCTTTTTTGTCCTCTTCTCATGGTCCACCTATATTTACATTTGCTTGTCAAGCAACTTAAGCTTTTTTCATTTATCAACTGACACGTTTGCATTTGATTTTAATCATTAAGCTATTTCTTCAACTATCTAAACAGTTGTTTCTTTATTAAGATAACCTCCATTTTATTTTTTGTTAGTTCTATTCTCAAGATATTGATTTTTTGGCATTTAGTCATTTTTATTTATTAGTTTTAAGGAAAAAGAAAATCACCTGAAGCGTTTTTAAGCCAATGTTTGTCTCTTTAACCAGATCATTAGTTAATCTATACTATTATAATTCAAATTTCTTCAAATTAGATTTCAGAAGCTTTATTGTGAACTTGTGTCTTTCCGCCATCTTTTTGTAGATACATTAATCTTTCCTGTTTTCTAAGAATTTTTCAGCTATTTTCTAAAAAGGCAGTTAAGCATCGTCTTCTGAAAATTCATGACATTTTAAAGCTTTTTCTTTCTAAATCAGCTCCTCTCTGCCATCCTAAAGCTTATATCTTACAGTTTGGTGTAAAGCATTCACAGAATTTCTGCAGGTAATGCAGCTTTTCCCAGTTTTGAATTGGGCTGCTTCATTTAAGCTCAGACATCCAACATCTGGATCACCTCCTTAGTTAAATGACCACACCCAACTCATTAGCAGGGAGGAGGAGGGAAAGGGGAGGTCTGGTTATACATTAGTTTGATTACAAAGCTGTGAAAGGTGCAAAATTTGCAAAACCTCCATATCAATGTGTTTTTTGCAATATTTATTTTCCTCCCACACCGTTTACCTTTGATCACTGCTGCACTTTAATGGAAATGTCATGAGCTGTACAAAACAAAATTGTGTATACAAAATGACAATTAAAGTCATCTAAGTCTTCAGGTCTTAAGTTTCCAGGGTTTTTTTTTTTTTTTTTCCTCTGACTGAATTACATCCCACAAAATTAATGTTTCGCTTTTTCACCCTGATCTCTCAAAGCTAATGGCCCCATAGCTCTGATGCCTACGAGAAATATTTAATTTCAAAATTTCTTCTGGACTAGGCCCCAGTTTACCCACTTTCCAATAATCCACCCACTTTAACTCCTTTCCTAGCCGTGTTTGAACACAAGTCCCTCTCCATGTAAGAGCAGCTGGTTTTCAGTAAGAAGCCCTTTGGATACTGTCCATCTAACGCTCTGCAATATAAGTGCAAACAACAGACGTTTACATTCATCAGATCGGACATACTCATAGATCCCGCTCCTGGTTTCCTAGGAGATGCTCTCATCTCGTGTTGGAGAGAAAAACCAGACGTCCCAAAGGACCAGATTACTCTGGAGGCAGCTGTGCTGGTTGCTATAAATGAAATACAGGAGAGTGGTCTGTCTGCATAAACAAAACCTTTGTTTGGGATGATCTGACACCAGTTTTTTGTTTTATGGCAAAGAACAGCTGGGATCCAAATAGCTAGACAGCATTACAATAACCAGGCTTCTAGCACTCTTAGGAGCTAAATTAACCTTAAACGTAAAGCAGAAAACACCTTCAGAGGTTTAGTCTTAAGCTACTGTGTGATCAGATACACATAAGGTGTTTTAGGTCTAGTTGAGTGAATGTAGTAAAGAAGTCATGAACAGAGTGAAGCTGGGAGGAATCTTGTGGTCATTAAGAGCTGGGCTGTGTTGACTTTAGACTAAAAATAACCAGAGGGGGAGAGGCCGACTGTGTGTTACAGCCATCAACAATGTTGTTGCTTGTTTCCCAGCACACACACACACACGTCAGCTGTTCAACATAGAACACGTTAATCCATGCTAAGAGACGTAAACACCCCCACAGCTGCTCCATTTCAGCTTTGAAAGTTCATCTTGGTACCTGTTGATTTTGAAGCATAAAATGGACTTTAAACTGACAGTGTCTAAATATTACAAAATAAACTAAACATTTCAGCCTCTGCAGGGCAAGCTACCCATGGTTGACAGTTGTAGCTTTTAATATTTCAAAGAAATGCATCAAACTGGCTAAAAATTTCTGCTAAACTCTCCCAATGTAAAAATTAAATTAGGCCATTTATGAATACGAGAATGAAATTGCTCCTTTATCTATGCTCAGCATTTTGTTTAGATAACCATTTAAAATTAAGATCCTTGAAATAAACGAAATATGATGAAACTTCAGATAAGTACATTATAATCTCCATGTTCTTAAAAAAGCAATAAAAAAAAAAAGGATTCCAAAAATGCCTATTACTGATGTACATTAATAACTTCATAAATGTTCAAGAAAACAGTTTTAAATCCCCCCCTACACCCATTTAAAAAAAAAAAAAAAAAAAAAAAAAAAAAAAAAAAGTTAATATTTAAAGCATTGGAGACAAACGTGAGTCGTCACCATCTGCTTTCACTACTTGTGCATCCAGTAATCTGGCCGCTATGGGGTGCAGGTTGTAAAGTTCAGCAATCAAATAATTTGAGCAGTATTTATGGTTATTCAGCATGTTTTTAAGAGAATAGCCATTACTCATTTTCCCCACACACACACACACATACATGCAATAAGCCTGTGCTAAGATAAAAAAAATTTGAAAAATGTGTTCAATATTAGATAAAAATGTATCAGAACCAGTTTATACACAACATGGGATTCAAGTCAATTTTATTTCTCAAATGGAAAAAAGAAAACAGGTTTTGATTAATTAAAAGCAGTAACAAAAGTAGCCATTAAAAATAAACAGCATTTTTTGAGTTTCATCCATACTAATGAGGCAGAGCAAAAGACATTCTATACAATATGTTTAAAACAGTACAACTTCCTGAGAAATCTTTTAAATGTAACCACAAAGATAACGCGGAAACCTGGTTTAAAAAAAAAAAAAAAAAAAAGTTGAGAATTTATGAGATCTGGGATATTTTTCAACTAATTAATTTTCCTGAACCTCATGTTATTTACCTAAAGTTTGAGGCTTCAAATATATTTTTAATTTCTACATGTCCAAATATTGTTAGAAATATAATTCAATTATAGATGCCGAAAAATAAAATATAAGGTTTAAAGTTTCACGACTACTGTAGTTATGTGCCACAGGCAGCATCGCCACAATAAAAGCTTTGGAGGCAGCCATTTAAATTATATTAAACTCTAATAATTTCCTCATTAAGATAAGTTCACATAAGAGCTTAGTTTTGTAACAAAAAAAAAAATATATATATGTATTTTATCTGCCACTTTTGGACTCTTACCTACAAATATACTGGGTGATATATTGGTGTGCGCCTTCACAATAAAAGCTTACAACTGGCTCTGATGTGTGGTAGAAGTTATGTGAAGTCTTTAGAAGGAACAGGCTGATCAGCAGCGTTTTAAACAGTGTTGCCGGCTTTCTTCCCAATCTGACAGAAGAGAAGCAAGGAGAAGACCATGCCGAAGATCTGAGGAAGGAAAAAAGATATATTAAAAAAAAAAAAAAAAAAATTAGTTTGACAAGCAGTGTCTATACCAACAAACTAATGCAAATCTGTGTCCAAGCATTTTAACGACAGCATTGACAGGAATCCATTTCTTCCACCAATATGCGATATGTTCTCTTAAAGCTTTTTGCAACCCTTCCACTGTAAAATGTGCCTTACAAACATCCCCTTTAAAATTTCCTGTTAAAATTTGAGTTTTTTTCCTCTCCACTGTCTCTACAAGCATGCTTGGTGTGAAGGATTGCATTCAAGTCAATCCATCAACTGGTTTCCTTATATACAACATTTTCAATCGATTTAACTATGTGATGTGGTGAACTGTAAAGTTTTGAGATGAAATGTGTTGTGAATTGGCGCAATACAAATATGGGCCCCTTTCAAATTTCACAAGAAACCCTAGTAAGAAAATGTCAGGGTTTCTAAACTGCTAAGGTTTCCCATCATACAGTTCGTGTGGAATAGATCCACTGCTTTGATCATAACTACTATGTATAGATGCATTCAATAAAAAAATTTGAGTTCAAAATGTGTGAGCACATTTAAGCAGCAACTATGAGACTAGATGAGGACCCTCTTTCTTAGTCTCTATGCTCAGCAGAGAACGTAACTTTGGAAACGTTTCCTTTAAAGAAGCAGCTTAGTCTCCAATCAGACCAACAAACCTAAATCTACAGAACCCTGAGAACTGAGCTTAAGGCAACATACCCCCCCCCGGTTGACTGTTTGTTTTTTCAAAGGGTGGGGGGCATAACAAGACCATCAGTAATTAGTTTCACATTTAACATCTTTAGGGTAGCCATTAACTCTGGATGTGTGTGTTTGCTGACCAGAATAATGGCGATGGCGAAGGCTATTCCCAACGACACCTCCATGTGATTCTTCATGTAGCCGATGATCTTGTCGATGCAGGGCTATGAGATAAGGACACGACAGTTACTGACAATGTTTGGCCAAAATATTAATTTAGCAGATTGGGGCATAATTCCTCCAGGTCTCCATCTTACTTCCTGATAGATGCCAGCGCTGCACTTGTCAGCTGCAGTCGCAGTGGCGTTGCAGCGGCAGGATGGTGGGGGCGGTTTCCATTCTGATGGTCCCTTGGTGAGTCCACAGCATTTCAACTGGAAACGCAAGCAAATTTTTTTTAAAGGATTGCACTCCCAGCAGCACATGGAAAACTATAAACGCAGCCTGGTTCTGGTCATTCCGATTCAAATTTTGAATTGAAAAAGCTTCCTGGATGGGAAGCGAAACATCTTCAAACTTGGAAATAAAGTCCAGTGGATTTTTTTTCCTCTTTACTTTTATTGAATGGTTATGACCTGGATGAGTGAGAATCTTCGTCAGCACATACATTCTGCTGCAAGTGAAAATATCAGAACACCATCTTTCTCAGCCAAAAACATTTGTTCCAGTTTGACTTATTGGAGTCTAGGTAGTGGTTCCAACCTGATCCATTTAAACATTCATGTTCTTCCTTCCCTCTCCACTAGAGGTCAGCACAGTGCTAGCAATAGAGGATGCTACTGAAGAGAAGGTCTGCATTACATCACTATGAGAGCAGATTTGTTGGAACATATTTAGAATGACACCTAAATAATAAGAGTTACAATTTTTTATGATCATGTCAAGGTGAAGAGATGAGCAACCAAATGGAATCATACACAAGCATAAGTAGAGGAGAACAAATCATGCTTTAACAGCTCATTTTACATAAAAAAGGCTAAATGTAAAGTGTGACATAAAATGACAGTATTTTATACAGAAAGAAAAAAGTGGTTAATGTGCTCAGTGTGGTGGGTAGTTACCTCCGCCTGCAGTTTCTCAAGGTCATCTTTAACATTTTGTGGCTGATCTGTAAGTGGCTCAAGCTTCTTCAGCTTTTCCTCCACCCATCCTCTCACCTACAAAATAAAAGCATACAGATTAATTCTACAAACGGATTCTGAACCAAGAAAGCAGCCCGGTCCATCTTACCTTGCCCTCCTCGACAGCTGCCAGGATGCCCGCAGCCAACAGCAGGGCGAAGATGATCAACAGAAGGACGAAGAACTACAGAGAGCAAACGAATGCTTCATTTTCATTTCTACAGCAGTTTGAGTACTACAAGCTTGCACTGTAATATTTTGTGCTAGTTGAACACTTGCAGCACTTCATTTCTACACCCATTTATATAGGCATAGAAATCATAACATAGCAATCTTTTATAGAATTCTAGGTTTTCGTGGGTTTAGTAGCCTTCAAAGCTGCAGTGAAGGCTGGCTTTGTCACAGTCAACTATACAGGTAAAAGCCAGTAAAATAGAGTATTTTCAAAAACTTGATTTATTTCAGTAATTGCATTCAAAGGTGCAACTTGTACATTATATCTATTCATTGCACACAGACTGATGCATTCAAATGTTTATTTCATTTAATGTTGATGATTTTAAGTGGCAACAAATGAAAATCCAAAATTCCGTGTGTCACAAAATTAGAATATTACTTAAGGCTAATACAAAAAAGGGATTTTTTAGAAATGTTGGCCAACTGAAAAGTATGAAAATGAAAAATATGAGCATGTATAATACTCAATACTTGGTTGGAGCTCCTTTTGCCTCAATTACTGCATTAATGCAGCGTGGCATGGAGTCGATGAGTTTCTGGCACTGCTCAGGTGTTATGAGAGCCCAGGTTGCTCTGATAGTGGCCTTCAACTCTTCTGCGTTTTTGGGTGTGGCATTCTGCATCTTTTTTCACAATACCCCACAGATTCTCTATGGGGCTAAGGTCAGGGGAGTTGGCTGGCCAATTTAGAACAGAAATACCATGGTCCGTAAACCAGGCAAGGATAGATTTTGCGCTGTGTGCAGGCGCCAAGTCCTGTTGGAACCTAAAATCTCCATAGAGCAGGTCAGCAGCAGGAAGCACGAAGTGCTCTAAAATTTGCTGGTACTGTAGACGGCTGTGTTGGCCCTGGATCTCAGGAAACAGACTCCGAGACCAGCAGATGACATGGCACCCCAAACCATCACTGATGGTGGAAACTTTACACTAGACTTCAGGCAACGTGGATCCTGTGCCTCTCCTGTCTTCCTCCAGACTCTGGGACCTCGATTTCCATAGGAAATGCAAAATGTGCTTTGGTCAGAAAACATGACTTTGGACCACTCAGCAGCAGTCCAGCTCTTTTTTTTTCCCTTAGCCCAGGTGAGACGCTTTTCACGCCGTTTCTTGGTCAGTGGCTTGACATGAGGTATGCGGCAGTTGAAACCCATGTCTTTCAAGCGTCTCTTGGTGGTGGATCTTGAAGCACTCACTCCAGCAGCTGTCCACTCCTTGTGAATCTCCCCCACATTTTTGAATGGGTTTTTTTTCACAATCATGACTAGGGCGCGGTGATCCCTATCGCTTGTACACTTTTTCTGACCAGTTTTTCCTTCCCTTTGCCTCTCTATTAATGCGTTTGGACACAGAGCTCTGAGAACAGCCAGCCTCTTCAGCAATAACCTTGTGTCTTTCCCCTCCTTGTGCCATGTGTCAATGGTCGCCTTTTGGACAGCTGTCAAATCTGAAGTCTTCCCCATGTTTGTGTAGGCTTCAGAACTGGACTGAGAGACCATTTAAAGCCCTTTGCAGGTGTTTTGAGTTAATCAGCTGATTAGTTTGTGGCACCAGGTGTCTTCAAAATTTAACCCTTACACAATATTCTAATTTTGTGACACACAGAATTTTGGATTTTCATTTGTTGCCACTTCAAATCATCAAAATTAAATGAAATAAACATTTGAATGCATCAGTCTGTGTGCAATGAATAAATATAATGTACAAGTTACACACAGCCAGCAATGTTGCTGTCAAATCAGCATACCCCATCAGATTAGCATACCCAGTCAACAACACGCATGTGCAAGGCATTGGATAGGAGTTTCCCTTTAAAGAGTATTTTCCTACAAAACTTAACTACCTTGTTGGGCCTGTATTACTTATCATGCACAAAAAAAAATAAATAAAATTATGGTCAGATCGCCAGAAGCTTTAACCACCAAAAAACCAAATTATTTTTTGCATATGACTAATGGGATAAATGGGTATTGACTATGGTTAGAATGATCCGACGGGGTATGCTGATCTGACAGACCACCACACATCAGGCAGTGACCCGCTAGGATATAGCGTTAGTTTGCATGAAATACCCCAATTTCACTGCAAGATGAGCAATTTCTTACACACGATCCCTTACAGCTTTGACATAGTCGCCATTTTAATTAGTTAACTGTAATTCCCCCCCCCCCCCCCCCTTTTCCTCAGGATAAAAACCTAGATCAAGCGTTTCGGTGAATGTTTGTGTGACAGGATCCTCACCACTAGCAGCATGCAGCGGTTCTCTCTGGAAGCTCCACAGCAGCCCAGGAAGCCAAGCACCATGATGATCACCCCGATGGCGATCATTAGCTCAAAGCTAGGAAGATATTGTTCTGTAATCTGTAAGGAAAAGGAGATGGGAAGGGATTGAAACGTCACAAAACACTCAAGTATTCTAGTTGCAGGTTCTGAGATGGCATCTACAAGTTTTACAAAGTATATTGTCTGTTGCATAAAACTAGCCAACCACACATCAGCTTTGGTAATCATGCAGAAAAAAAAAAATAATATATATATAATAAAGGAGCCTCACAGAGTTTCCCTCTTTGCTGACTTTCAGGTAGATCCCAACTCCCAGGATGATGCAGCCGCAGATCTAGAGAGGAACAAACAATGAGACCAGTTTAAGTTCCCATTTTTAAAACAAGTTTCACCTGTACTAAACAGGAGTTACTTTATTATACAGGGATGGTTTAAATCGAACACTACTTTCATTTTTCATCACTTGTGGCTTATTGTACCATTTTCCAAGTCTGCCAACACCATCCTTTGCAGACATTTAAGGCTCAATAGGTGCACCAATGTTTCTAACTTTGCTTTTTTTGTGCAAATCTGAAAAATGTAATGCAAAGAAACCATTCCTATGCTCCATGATGGAGCTACTGGGATCTGTCAAAACCTGAGCTCGACATTGGCATTACAAGCAGAAGTAAATGTACATTTTGGACCATTTAAAAACTGTTTATATACAAATTTACCTCGTTTTGGGCAGAAGAGGGAGCAAATGCTCAGCAAGAATGGATCATTATACTCTGGTTGAAATCAAATTTTCCAATCTAGTTAAAAGCCAAACCCAAACGTGCCTTCATCATTGAATGGATTTCTGTGTTTGGGGATTGTGGCTAATGTAAAAAAAAAAAAAAAAAAAAAAAAAAAAACACCTCTGCAATAGAATACCATCATTGCCATCTTTGAATAAATGTCAGTGGTGTCAAAAGTACACACATTTGTTACTTAAGTATAGATACTGTAGTTTGAACACTCTGAGTAAAAAGGTCGAGTTGATACTTCAACTTTTACCAATTAAGTAAAAAAGTATGTGCTCCAAAAACTAGAGTATAAAGTAACAAAAAAAAAAAACAAGACCTCCATGATCCTTGGCTCTGTCTCCCGATACACTCTCGCCTGTGTCTGACCTTTCAGACATTTCAACATCTTTTTCTGAATCCTACATTGCAGCATGGCATAGACAATTCACGTTTGCAGTTTGAAGAACACCTGCTTGCTTCTGATAATTTCCTTTAGCTAACCAATGAGTGTGTGAGTTATACAACTCATCCAATTACACTAGTTTTCACTAGATGTGGATGGAGCCAATGATCTGCATTGGATGGAGCACATGACGGGAAATAAATATTTATAAACATTAAACCAAAGCCAAGAGTAACATTTGTTTTAAAAATGTAAGGGATACTTGTGTGAAAATGTAAAGAGTAGAAGTCGGAAGCAGGAAGAAAAATAAAGTATAGATACTTTGTTACTGTACTCAAGTACACTTTTTACGTATTGTGCTTTGTTACTTGACACCTCTGATAAATGTTGCACAACTTGTGCCACCAACAAAAAGTCAGAGCTTCTGACAAGTATAAGCCCATGAATGAAACTTGATAGGCCTGAAATTCAAACCCTTAGATCACTGACCTGTTGTCCACCTGCTCTGTAGGCACGTCATCTTTCAGACATTCATTATTCAAACCTCTCAGGCACACTAAATGTTGCAGTGAGTGATTATCACCCTCCCAAATAAGTCATCTCAAGAGTAGGGTAGTGATTAATGCAGGTACACAAACAGCATCCTATAGGACGTTTTATATTTTACCATAAAATGAAGCCTTAGACGGTTGGACAGATCAATTTAATATTTTAAAAATTAAGGGTAAGAAAAAAAGCTTGTTAAACCTTAACAGTTGTGCTGCCACCCTTCAATACAATCATTTCATCATCAACACTAGATTAACTAGTTAAACTACAGTTTGTTTGAAAAGACCTCACCCGTTTTTAGAGGTTAAAGAGATTTAACAAAAGGACGTGACTTATTGGCATTCTGAAGCAGCCATACCCAATTCTTTTCATTCTGTCTGAATGTCAAGGAATCTCAGGCCCGCATCCAACTATATGTCAGACTCTATAACCTCCCCATGCCATTTACACTGCTCTATTTGCACTCCTTGTAAGATGCTATTTTACTTTTTATATCCATATTTTTATCCTAAATGTATATATTATTCTATTTTATTGCATGCCTTATACCCACAGTGTTTTAGATATTTTTATAATTTTATTTACCTATTCCATATTATATGTTTCATGTTGCACGATTGTACCATAAAAAATTCCTAGTTCGTGAACTCCTTTACTAACAATGGCAATAAACCTGATTCTGATCAGACCTCACTAGTACATCTAGCACTACAATTCAGCACTCGTCAAGTCATTTGAGTAAATTAGAAAAAAAAAATTTTGAAATCACTACCTAAAGCAGACAAGGTTTTCTAGATAAACTTTAAATTCATCTATAGCAACCTTTATACAGATTATGAATTATTCCATCTCAGAATGCAAAAATGTTTTTGTGGGAGTAAATCACTGGATTAGATGCTGTCTAAGAACTAAACACTGGCAGGTCTTAGAAGTACAGTTTGCTTTTAAAGGGGAAGGGGGGAAAAAAAACAAAAAAAAAATAGTTAACAGCACAGATAAAGCTTTTTGACAAAATGGATTTGTTCAATTTGCATGAAAACTGAATGAGGTCATTTTTAGTAATGGGTGGGGAGAAAAAAAAAATATATAAAAATTGTCTCCATGATGATGTCTTTACTAAAAATACCAAATCAAATGTTTACCCTATGACTTACTTCCAGAGAACATGAACTTCTTGATTTGAGCTGCTGTTAATCACCTTGACTCTATCATACAAAACAGCTGAACCTGAAACCTAGGTGCAAAACGTTCTATGGTTAGACATTCCCAGCATTGCTGTTTTGCAGCAGAAAATGCTTAAAGTGTTAAACTGGTTATAGAAGTAGTGATATCCACCTGTTTTTCCATCAAAGACAAAAAAATAAAAAGTGTATGAAAAGCCAACACAGAAGTAGTAGTGACCGTTTCAAGCCACTGGAACTAGAGTTTAGTGCAGAATGTACAAATGTTAGAGAAAGTGCACTACAGCTGCAAAGATGGGGGAGATATTGTAGGAGATGATTGCTGCTCCAGTTAGCGTTTATATGAAGTCTGCTATGGCAGGCTGTTTTAACATTAAAAGCATTCCATTAGTAGATCACTAAAATAGGATTCTTCCTGTTCAAAAATCCACATTCCTAGTTGGAACTATAGGTTTTCTAAATTATATTTTTGGCTGCAGAAACAGATTATCAGAAAGTAAAAAACAAAATTGTACTACTAAGAAGTTTTATATACTTAGAAATCTTTACACATTTCAAGTGGCCATTTTGACATTTACCAGCTTAACTAAATAAGTATTTATGATATCTGAAATATATTTCTTCATAGTCAAAATATTAATTATGACCAGTATGAGTAGGAATATGAAGAAAAACAAATATCTTAATTGTAATGAGCTATGGCAGGCTATTTTGATAACATTAAACTAGTTTAGTGGCAGAATGCCCTCAATCTATTCATTTAGATTAAATCTCACAGGAAAGAAGCGTACCCATAAGCAAGTGAAGAGGAAGTATAAAAATGTTCAAACAGGTAGGACCTGTGCGTCATGTCATGGGGCTCCTTATTTTGTTCCCATCTCACAGTAAATACCAAGTGGCAGTCTGACTGTACAGTTATTTTCTATAATGCTGTTATCACAACGTTCCCTCACAGATATGTAGTTTTGCTAATTATCTAATGCTGCAAATGTAAGGACAGATAAGGTCTGGATGCGAGGTGAAACAGTAACACTCAAAGATAACCGCTCCCCATTTGATTCTTTGAATTAATGCTGCTTATCCTTTAATTTGATCCTCATATAAAGGACATGTCATGTTAAGTTTTTAACACCCATCCAACGAAAGATTTTCTTATGTTTTGCACAAAGCTTCGACAGAACTCCGACTAAATTAGGAAATTAAACATGAATGGCTTTACAGAGCACAGGGACAGAAAATCCTGCTGCTGACCAGGTTAGCTCAGAGGAAAAATGTTAGAGGCTCAGTAAACCTGATTTTTAAACGGGCCTCTGCCTTTAGTTTACATAACATCAAAGTTTTACTAGGCAGAAAACAAACTCATTTGAATTTTTCTCTGCTGCAGGTTATCTACAAACAAAATAAGCTGCTTTCGGCGACGCTGGAGGGAAAATCCTCCATCAACGAATTTGTGTGGAAACATCTAAACCTCTGTTTGTAGGCAAACACTTAGAAACTAAACCATATTCCCGTCTTTGAGAGCTTCAGCTCAGCAAGGCTGAGAGTGGAAAATTTTACTGAAAAGGTGGTGAGGTGATTATATCCAACCTAAACAAAACTGCATTTAAATAAAGGTGGTTACAGAACAGTGCAAAAGAACACCCTGTCATTCCGGATCTAGATAAATCTAGGAGATTCTACCAGAGATTGTGACGCAAATGCACAAAGAAACTGGAAGAGCAACAGAATGATCTTTTGTTTGCATTGGATTCACTGTAAAGTTACAATTTTAAATTCAGTTTTAACCTGCTTAACTTGGTTTAAACAAACACCCCACTACAAAAGGTGCCTTTAAACGCAAGTGAAATGGTTAAAATTCTTGATCCCTGATCTGGATTACATCTAAGTTAAAATGTTAAGTATGAGACTCAGGAAAAATAAAAGGATTTTAATTCATCAGGGATGTTTAGAGAAATGGGACAATTAACACATTTTCTGAGGATTTTATTTTAATGATACTATTCAATCCAAAGTAAACCAGGATAATCTCTGGTTTATTAGTTTGCCATCAATAATATAAACCCACATCACAAGAGACCGTTTTTTTCTAATTTGTTACCAAATTTAAAAACACTGTTCAGGTGATTTTATAATTTTGGTTGTAATCACCAGGATCAGGATTACAGTTAAAGTTTAATACCGATTAGTCATCTGTTAAGCACACAGAGTTTAAACTTTGAGATATTAGTTGACTGCTGACTCTGGCTTAAATAGAATATCGGGTTTTAGTCAAGTAATCTAGACTTATTTAGCTGCACGGAAAGATCCAGGTCTTAAAGTTCAAAACATATAAGCTGAAAATGCAATAATAATTTACCTTTTCATTTAATCTCATCCCTGATTAAGAGATTTTTTAATTGTTCTCAGAACTGTTAGATTTTGCATATAGTTTAAACAACGGAATTGTTAAATTTAAAGTTAAGGCTTCAGTTAAAATAAATCCAGACCAAAGCGTGGAATTTTCACAAATGCTTCAAGTATGAAACAAACTCAGATTGGAATTATACTACAAAGAAAACATCAGATTAAGATTACGTTTTTGTTTCACTTTCAGCATTTTGTCACTGAAACCATCTGAACAGATCAGCTGTTGATTAAACCACAAAGATGATGTAGTTCATCATTTAGAGCGCATCATTTCATGGCGTTCCCGTGCCTCTGCAGTGACTCATGTCGTAATGAGTCACCAACTGACACCCATTCGCCTTCATACCAACCCTGATCACTGAACCATTGTCACTAGACCAGACCTGTTCTACTCTGAAAGACGCTCAGACGTGTTCAGTCACGCCCTCATCCTGCCCATCTTTTCAGTTCTTCCTCCACTCAGCAGCCAGCTTTAGCTTTCTGAAAACAATGACTCAGATTAATATTTCAAAAGGATGAAGAGTTATGGTGTCAATTACACAAGAGCAAAAAAGCCTAGCAGACAAAAAGCAAACAAGTCTAGTTTAATCTCCAGCTTATCAGATACCCTCATTATGCCTCTTCTTACCTGTCAGCAACCCATTTTCTTAGTGTTTAAATAGTTTTACATTTTGCTAAATCTAATTAAGAGTTGAATTACTAACAAACTTGAAATGGTTTTAACATGAAGTATAATCCAACAAGTTTATACCGACTGTTCTAGTGCCAGTGTAGGCCTGATGACTTACAAAATGACTAGAGCTTTATAACTAAATCATCCTGAGACGGACCTCATCCTGAAAACCAATCAGTTCAGGGATGGTCTATTCTGCCATCCGCTGATGAGATCAGAAATTAGATTTCCAAGGTGATTGATGGTCCAAACAAAGCAATTACTGGAGCATCAGTCCAAACATCACTTTTCCACTCATTTGCAGCAGTTCTATTGGGTTACATCCAGACAAACTCCCACTGTTGGCTGATTAGATTAGATTTATTTTACAAGTATTAAATAAGACCTTAATCAACAAGCCTCACTGGTTTTTCCAACCAATATGCAGCTAATGTATTATTCGTCTCATTTCTTTTAATCCTCGAATTCTAATATCTAATCTAATATATAGAAATTACATTAAAAAGTTGCAGAAGGATTCAGAGGCAGGATTTAAATCCATGCCATAAAGCTTTTAGTTAATATCAGGAACAATTAAACAAGAAGCCACTGAGGTCCATTAACGCCAGTTCTACCATTTGCGTCCTTTTTAACCCATCATCATTAGGACAGCAGAGGAGGACAGAGATTAATTTGAAGGTGATAACATGAGTTTAGATTGTGATGTAAATAATCAACAAGGTTTGAAATAATTTCCCCAACTTCTAAACTGGATGAAAAAGCTGCTAACTTCCATTTCTACACATCAGAACCTCCTGATCTACTGGAGCCTGAGAAACACAACATCCTTTCAGCACAGGCTTGTTGACATCAGATGATGGGTCAGGATGAGAGAATGGTTAATAAAAAGCTAAATATCCAATACGGTCTAAACTAACAGGGTCAGAATCAGGCCCAGTGATGGAGCCCAGTGCTCAATGACCTCCAGGGTCACCAGGTCCCAGTTCAGAGAAATACCTTTGGATGTAGAGAAACAGGAAGTCTCATCACAGATGAGACTTATGGACCAGAATCTGAGGAGTGAATCAGAATCTTTGTCACCAAACATAAAGGCAGTTCTAAGGGAACATCATGGAAGTTGTTCTTTGTTCACAGGAAGTCAAATCTGTTCAGGGTGTGTCGTTCAGGGGAAAAGCTTGAAAAGGAAGGAAGAGAACAGACTGCTGATTGGTTAAGATGATAAACTATTTCTATAGAGAACCTTCAGTTTTCTACCACTTAAAAAAAAGCAGTTGGAAGAATAAAGGACCAGTGGTCAGGGAGTGTATATATATATATATATATATATATATACACACACACACACACACACATCTCTTCTTTCTGGGGAAGCAGTGCAGCTGTTGGACCAGTTTTTCCAGTTTACTGGATGATTTCCTAATGCATGGAGATCAGAGACTGGTTTTTATTTTTGCTTTTTTCTTTCCCCTCCAACGCCCATTTCATTCAAACGTTCTGAAGCAGAAAGATTTAAAGTCCTCGAATATTTGAGTTCTGACACCTGCATTTCAAAAGTCCCTTTTCTGATAAGGTGTGATCTCTTGTCCGATTCTGACATCTGCAGCTTTCCAAGCAAAATACACAGTTTAACCATAAGAACAGCAATCGCCTTAAAGATGCAGCAGAAAGTTGAGAACAAGAAATCACCTTTTATTTGGTTTCAACTCGCTATAACGATTACATTTAAGCCATAAATGGTTATTAGGCCTGTTTACTGCTTTACTCATTCAGTGACCTGAAAGCATCAAACTATACTTTAAGCTGCATTAGAGGAATCCTTTGACTTTATTAGGAGGTGGTGGTTAAAAGAGAAAAAGGTGATGGAAAAATGGCAGCAATATCTGCTTTTAAAATAAGGTTAAAAGTGCTTAAATCCCACTTAAGTCTTATACTTTATTCATATTTCACTACATTAGCAGTTTATAAATGAACACAAAAAAAAAAAAAAAAAATTTAATAAACCATGACACCCTGCTGAGCCCATTAACTTCTACTGGGAAGCTTTTTGGAGGGAGCATAGAGGAGGAAGCTGAATTATTGATGAAATTGGTCTAAATAAACACTGTAACCAGTAAACAAACACTTAGGGACTCAGAGAAGTCCAGGATGATCAGGCCAGGATGTGACCACACCCCGAAACTCCACTCCTGTGTGGTTTGAGGGCGAGGCCAGAAAATAAGAGAAACACTAAACCTTTTCCATAAAAACTACATGAGACTGGAGTCAACAGAGAACCAGACATCAACATGGACAAAAAGATTGCTTTAAATAAGCCAAACTCACCCAGAACAGCAGGTTGAAGAGAAACAGCAGATATTTGACACACTTGTTAACAGCCATGGCTCCTTTCTCAGACTGGACCCTCACAGGCAGAAAGCAGCAGGCAAACAATCAAAGCAAACCAGCTTCACCTGTTTGTGTTCCCTCTCAGTCTGCTCCTTTTCTACCTCTGTCAGCCGAAGCCTCCTCCCTCACACCCCTCCCCCATCAGACCCCTCCCACATGCAAAACAAGGAAAGCAGCTCCAGCTTAATTATAGGGGATATGTAGCACCTGAGAACTTTAGTTTGCAAGTCTTGTTATCAACATATTGGTTAGATTAAGTCTGGGCTTTGACTAGGCCATTTTAAAACAGACATATGTTTCATACTTAACCATGCAGATGTATCTCTGTATTTTTACAGCCATCCTGTTGAAAGATGAACCTCTAATTAGTTGTTTTTAGGTTAAATTGAGGAGAACATGTTTTTTCCTCTAGAAACAAACACTTCAAATGTATTATTCTTTAAGGAAAAAATCTAATATTCTCTGTCTGCCTCCTCTCCACTCAGACTCTGCAGATTCTGTTACATTTGTCCTAATTCTTGCATTCTGCAGATGTTTGGCTTTGATAAGCTCCTCCCTATGAATCTTCCAAAGCTTGATGATCTCATGGCTCAGTTTCCTCTCCTCAATGTTTATGGTTCGATTCAAACAAACACAACATGTTTAAGCAGCACAACAGATCACTGATCTCTATTTATTCACTGGATTGCTGTTTACCCATTGGTAGTACAGGGTTGAAGTGAAGCCACCGGCCGCCATATTGGTACTCCCTTGTTCAACCGGTCGCAATGTAAACAGCTTATGCACTACAGCATCAAACAACATTTATATTCTCCTTTTGAGGGAGACTTTTAAAATAAAGATAAATTTATCACTTTGACACACACTTGCTATTTCATAGCATCAGTAGATTACTGGAACTTATAATAATAAAAAATAAATAAATTGGCACATCACATTGCATTCTAGAAAACATATAATCATGTAATGTAACATATTATACAAATCCACCACAATAAAATTAATGTGTTCATGGAGCGTAAAAATACATTGTGCCAAAAGTGCTAAATTGATGTAATGTAATATATAGGTATGTATTACACTGATATGGTAATTACATCTTATATGTCTGGTAATTCATATATATATATATATATATATATATATATATATATATATATATATATATATATATATATATATATATATATATATATATATATATATATATATATATATATATATATATAGGGGCTGAATGACTGAGTTGCTTTTTTTCCGTCAATCTAACATGCAATATATTTCAGCACAGACTTTTTCCAATTGAGAAATCAACAAACACGACAGTGTCATCCGCTTAATAAAGAAATATTACATTGACATTTCACAGTGAATTACTTTCTATTTACTCTACTTTCTATTTTCTTAAGTTAGACACAACATCAATGGCTAATTTAGTCAAAATCTTTAAGTCACTCCAAGATAGCCTGACTAATTTTATGCGACATGCTATACTGTAGGATTCATTGGCGAATATGTGGATTTTCTTGGTTAGTTCATCCACTGATTGTGGAACGTCTTTCAACAGTCGGCACACTGCTTGTTTTTGCAGCCAAATGCTACACAGGTAGGTACAGGTGCTGGTCATAAAATTAGAATATCATGAAAAAGTAGATTGATTTCAGTAATTCCATTTAAAAAGTGAAACTTGTATATTATATTCATACATTACATACAAACTCATATATTTCAGATGTTTATTTTGTTTAATTTTGATGATTACAAATGACAACAAATGAAAATCTCAAATTCATCATATCAGAAAATTAGAATATTACTGAAGACCAATAAAAACAAAGGATTTATAGAAATGTTGGCCAACTGAAAAGTATGAACATGAAAAGTATGAGCATGTACAGCACTCAGTATTTAGTTGGGCCTCCTTTGGCCTGTATTACTGCAGCAATGCGGCGTGGCATGGAGTCGATCAGTCTGTGGCACTGCTCAGGTGTTATGATAGCCCAGGTTGCTCTAATAGTGGCTTTTAGCTCTTCTGAATTGTTGGGTCTGGTGTATTGCATCTTCTTCTTCACAATACCCCATAGATTTTCTATGAGGTTAAGGTCAGGAGAGTTTGCTGGCCAATTAAGAACAGGGATACCATGGTCCTTCAACCAGGTACTGGTAGCTTTGGCACTGTGTGCAGGTGCCAAGTCCTGTTGGAAAATGAAATCTGCATCTCCAAAAAGTTGGTCAGCTGCAGGAAGCATGAAGTGCTCTAAAACTTCCTGGTATGTGGCTGCGTTGACCCTGGACCTCAGAAAACACAATGGACCAACACCAGCAGATGACATGGCACCCCAAACCATCACTGACTGTGGAAACTTTACACTGGACTTCAAGCAACGTGGATGAAGTGCCTCTCTTCTTTTCCTCCAGACTCTGGGACCTTGATTTCCAAAGGAAATGCAAAATTTACATTCATCAGAGAACATGACTTTGGACCACTCACCAGCAGTCCAGTCCTGTTTCTCTTTAGCCCAGGCAAGACGCTTCTGACGCTGTCTGTGGTTCAAGAGTGGCTTGACACAAGGAATGCGACAGCAGAAACCCATGTCTTTCATACGTCTGTGTGTGGTGGTTCTTGAAGCACTCACTCCAGCTGCAGTCCACTCTTTGTGAATCTCCCCCACATTTTTGAATGGGTTTTGTTTCACAATCCTCTCCGGGGTGCGGTTATCTCTCTTGCTTGTACACTTTTTTCGACCACATCTTTTCCTTCCCTTCGCCTCTCTATTAATGTGCTTGGACACTGAGCTCTGTGAACAGCCAGCCTCTTTAGCGATGACCTTTTGTGTCTTGCCCTCCTTGTGCAAGGTGTCGATGGTCGTCTTTTGGACAACTGTCAAGTCAGCAGTCTTCCCCATGATTGTGTAGCCTATAGAACTAGACTGAAAGACCATTTAAAGGCTTTTGCAGGTGGTTTGAATTACATTAATTTCTAGGAGAAACTGCTTTTCAGAAAGTAAAAAAAAAAGAAATGTTACTAGTAAGAATAATGTTTGATATACCAAGAAATGGTCATTGATTTTAATTGGCTGTTTGGACATTTATCCATTTGACTAAATATGTATTTATAATATCTGACATACATTTTTTTTATATCGTAGAGAAGAGGGAATGTACACATCAGGATTTGATCTAAACCTATACTGGAGGCTAAAATCATGGAAACACACACGCTTCTGGAGCAGTTTATACCCGATGCCAGCCAAAAAAAAACATGCTTCTTGAATCTTCAGTTACTTTGTAACAGTATGCTCGCCCTCAGTGGAGTTACATCACAACTCACCCCAGCAATCTACAACAGGATTTAACTCAGTAACTTGGGAGTTTTGTATTGCCTACTTATAACAGTCAAGATACCACACATTTCTTACTATTCTAAATAATATAATAGGAATATATATATCTGAAATTCATTTCTAGATGTTTACTTTAAGGATGTTTATTTTAAATATGGAGAATTTTATTCTCTCTATTATCAAAATGATCAAGCGGCCTGCCATAGGCTGCTGTGACCTCAATAAAATGAATATAGAGATTGATAAAGTAATTCTGATTATGGGAAAAACTAGTTTATTGCTTGAATGGTATTGGATCAGCGTATCTATTTAGGTGCAATCACCCTTAAGCAGGTGAAGATGAAGAATACAAATGTTGTTCTAACAGGTAGGATGTGTGCATCATCTCATGGGGTTCTTCCTCAGTTTGATTCTGTCTTCCATTACACAGTAAATACTAAGTGTCTCTTTGCAGCAGCTTTGGATGTTATCATGCCATTAAATGGCCATTATGAGAGGTTATCAGTAACATTGAATGGCTTTAGATTGTGTCTCCTATGTTCCAGTAGGCTCAGTAGGTTTTTATTATCAAATGAATCCTAATCCTAACCCTAAAGTGATTCCTTTTTTTTCACAGAAATTATTAATATATTTATGTATAATCTGAAAATAATTTCAATAGTTCTTAATGTACTGTAAAAAGAAAATTATCCACATGCCGCTCATATTAAACAAACCATAAACAAATAAATCTCTTATCTTTTCAACTGAGTTGTTTTTTAATCACCACATTAAATCCATGTGATTGAAACAGTAAAGCTTTAAAACACCGTTTAAAAAAGGATAAATAAATAAAAAAGTAGATAAAAACTATAAAATACAGAAAGAGTAGATAAAACTTACAGTTTTAGAGGCGGCCGAAGCGGCTGTTATCAATGATAAGCTGCATATTAACAGCCATAAGAATCCTACTAGAAGGTAAAGGAATCACTTTATCAGTTTAGATCCAACACCAACTTTTAAAAAACATGTAAGAAAAAAAAAAAAGAAAATCTATTAGGTTATTTTGGCAAACTTTTTATTAATACAAGGCTCTCTGACCACAGAATAATCGCATTTATATTTAAATTGCACAATTTTCTCAGGTTTAATGTTTTGTGAGACTCAATGGTCGGTGGCATCCAAAACAGTCATACAGCCTATTGAGTTAATATACAAAATACCATAACATTTCAAAATAAAAGACCTGGGTGGTATCATCACTGCATTATATTTCTAAATGTAATTTTAAAAATACTGATCTGGAATTAGTTGTACTTCAAAATGTACCAATTCTTTAAACTGCCAAACAATGTATGTGGATGCATTCAGCATCTGCTGCGTTCTCTCATCCTTCAAAGCACCTCAGAATGATGCTACATCTGTTACTGTCCCAAACAGCTGCTCCAAAGAAGAGGAAGCACAGCACTAACCAACGCTTTATGCAGAAACCCAATAGCTGACAACAGGATGGGTTAGATCTAAAATATCTAAGCCACATGCACCACAGTGTGCATCACACAGGAACTTCCTGAACATTTAATTTAAGTGTTTCTAAATGTTTGCTATATGAACTGAATTACACTTTGTGTTCTTTGGACTATAACCCTTTTAGGATCAGATTTCCTTTCTCCTCCATTCCTCAAGTGCTTTGATCATCTGGCTGGAAAACTACTAGATAAGTACTAAGTACTTAGTATGTAGTACTAAGCAGCCACCTCCAGAGGTCCGGAAACTTCCCAAACATCCTGCCAATCGGGTCCCATTTTGCAGGTGGGGTTTGTAGCTACTTGTTCTTGTGATATAATTTCAAAGGAATATCCCAACATTTCAGATGCTTTGCTGTTATTTTGTATTTCAGTTATGTTCACAATAAACAGATAGGCATGTCTTGATATAATAAAATGTATTTTTTTACTGTCAAAAAACGCCCTTTTAATGTTATGTGTGCAATAAAAGGCTTAACACTTTATTCTCAGGTTGCAGACCTTTACGCCAAAGTGCATGGATTAAACAAACTGATCTAAGTTAATCCAAGTAATTCACTTTTTTCCAAACCCTGAAATAAAATCAAATTCAAGCTATGTTCACTGTTTGTGTTTTTTATCCAATATGAACAACTGGATTCAGTGTTCTTAACTATTTTAAGACTGTAAACTAAACTGCTGCTGCTTCACATTTCCTTATTATACAAGTTTCTTGTAGATCAGTCTCTTTATCTTTCCTATTTTTTAGGGGGAAAAAAGGAAATTAATTTTTTAGCTTTTTTTCTCTGTTTAGTATTTTTCTTTCTTGTTGTTTGTTGCAGCTGCAGTTATTTTTAAAGTGCTACATAAATGATTATTATTAGTTTTGGCGTCCAAACTGAGCCTGATTTTATTGGACGTTTCTTCCTGTTGAAGTGCAATCGCCTCATGTCTGTTCTGGAGGAGGGATTGCTGTTAAGGAAATGGCCTGATGTAAATGGCTGGGCATTTAAGAAATGACAAACCAAACTAAGTTCTATTATTTTATGGTTTTTAGGATTAAATTTGAGTTTTTTCCATTGTATGTAAACTGTGTGAAAGTTATTGTATTGGTGGATGGAGCTAAATACAAGGCCTTATGTGGAGCTTAAAGCCTGAAGGTCACCTTTGGCCTGGAAACAGTTAGTAACAGCCTGCATGATAATGCTTCATTTTCATTTAAGCAGACATGCATGTTTTGCAGCCACCACCACATTACCACAATCCCCACAACCTGTAATTTACGCACAATATGTTAGGTGTTCATGAGTTGTTGGCTAATTATTATGATTACTGTAATACCAATACCACAAAAAATGACAAGCAGTATTTTTTGCTCCATTCAAGATAAATGCCTTTTAACTGGAGGAAAATAAACAGGCAACAGATTTTATATGGCATAAAAATGAGTAAACAAATATAGTAAAATGAAGGGAATGCAATACTGAAGAGTCAACCACAACTAAGACCCATAAAAATCTGTTGCACTGATCTCTATTTATTCACTGGATTGCTGATTGCCATAAAAAGGTGAAGCCATCGTCTAACATGCTGGTACTCCCCACTCCCACAGAGACACGCAGTAAAAATACAGGTGCTGGTCATAAAATTAGAATATCATGAAAAAGTAGATTGATTTCAGTAATTCCATTTAAAAAGTGAAACTTGTATATTATATTCATACATTACATACAAACTCATATATTTCAGATGTTTATTTTGTTTAATTTTGATGACTAGTTTTTCCCATAATCAGAATTACTTTATCAATCTCTATATTCATTTTATTGAGGTCACAGCAGCCTATGGCAGGCCGCTTGATCATTTTGATAATAGAGAGAATAAAATTCTCCATATTTAAAATAAACATCCTTAAAGTAAACATCTAGAAATGAATTTCAGATATATATATTCCTATTATATTATTTAGAATAGTAAGAAATGTGTGGTATCTTGACTGTTATAAGTAGGCAATACAAAACTCCCAAGTTACTGAGTTAAATCCTGTTGTAGATTGCTGGGGTGAGTTGTGATGTAACTCCACTGAGGGCGAGCATACTGTTACAAAGTAACTGAAGATTCAAGAAGCATGTTTTTTTTTGGCTGGCATCGGGTATAAACTGCTCCAGAAGCGTGTGTGTTTCCATGATTTTAGCCTCCAGTATAGGTTTAGATCAAATCCTGATGTGTACATTCCCTCTTCTCTACGATATAAAAAAAATGTATGTCAGATATTATAAATACATATTTAGTCAAATGGATAAATGTCCAAACAGCCAATTAAAATCAATGACCATTTCTTGGTATATCAAACATTATTCTTACTAGTAACATTTCTTTTTTTTTTACTTTCTGAAAAGCAGTTTCTCCTAGAAATTAATGTAATTTAGAAAATGTATTATTATAGTTCTGACTTGGAATGTGATTTTGACAAGGAAGGATCCTATTTTAGTGATCTACAAATGGAAAAACAGAGAGCAGAATGCTGTTAATAAGTGTCAAAACATCCTGCCATACCAGACTACATTAACTCAATCTTCTCTTAGTCCATTTTCATCTGCTTTCAAGCCATACATACTTGTTACACACGTACTCAACTCCAAATGGACTTACTCAGTGAGTATGTCCTCAATGAGTCCTACTCATTGACACCAAGTTTGTACTATTTGGTTGTTGTTGTTGCTTAAACTGTGATAAAAAAGAAAAATAGATAATACACTGAAACTGACTATAGGACGATGATCTTGGTCTCATATAAAGATGTCAGGTGTTGTTGAAGATCCAAAAGAAGTGCGAGTGTTTAATAAGAGTGGCTCAAAGTTTTGGGAATATGTGCTGTGCGACAATTGAAAATGAAGCATTTATTTAGCATTGATTACTCAGTGTTGGATGTTGAACCTGTTTTCTATTTCTGCGGGATGCCTGAGCTTAACGCAGCAAAACGGCAAAGAACAGAACACACTGGATAGGAAGTCCTGCACAGAAACAAAATAAAAAATCAGGTATATATCCAAAATAATCATAACAATAGATACTTTCTATGGTAACTTACCTCTATTTCAACAGACACCATGGTCCTTCCAAATGCCTCAGAAATCCCCACTTTTTAATCTACAACTGTTGTAATGTTTTAGAATCCTATGTTTATTTATTTTATATAATTGCTTATATTAGCATACTTAATTTTTCTTATTCAATATATATACTTATAGCTAGTTTTCTATTTTATACTTTGACATTGGGCAGCTCTCAGTCCAAAGAAACTAATTTAATTCCATATCAAAATGTGCTGAAATGAAAAAAAACATTGAAACATGATGCTAAAATGGCAGAAATCAGTTTGGGATTTTTCTGTGTTGATATTCTTCACTAAAGGGAACACATGATAGGGAGGAAAAGGCTGAGTCAAACCAAACGTATCTTTGGGCCAAGCAGCAAGAGGAGCAATAAAGAGAGAGATGGAGGGAGAGCAGGTACTAGGAAAGGAAAATACGATGCCAGAACTGTATGTTTTAAAAGCCAGAGCTTCAAAGCATGATTACTGAGGTATTGTGTTAAATTATAATAGAAATATGTTTAAAGCTTTCCTTGACAAGAGTGAACAGATTATGCACCATCATCAACATAATAGTGTAAGAGTACTTGGGTGTCTATTTTAAAAACCTAAAGTAAATATAAATCAGCTAATTTCAATTATATTGTAATGTCTTTTGTGACACAATTCTAACTGCTTAAGGCTGTTTATGCTCAGAAACCAGGTCGTCTGCATGTATGTCACAGTTAACGCAGATACGCCGCCCCTTCCGCAGACACTCTGCTGCGCATCTCTAAAATTGTAGGTAACCACAGGAGGCCTGTGATTGGTCAAATCTACATCCGCTCTAAAAGAGGAACAGAGAAATGGAAAAAACAGGTGTTATTAAAGATAAAGAGGCAGGAAGAGAAACATGAGAAAGAGAAGTTGCTAGAAGGAAAAGAATGACAATAACCGAGGAGGTTTAGATTTAAATAATGTCATTAAAAACATTTCCAGGGGAGCATGACGCCATAGAGCTTCTAACTCATGACCTCAGTATTTTTTGGGCCCTGCAAATAGCAGCAGTTGTGAAACGAATGGAACCCAATCCAGATGTGGTGCTGAAAAGTGAGACTTTAACCCTATCTAGTGGTATTTTTTTAGAATTACAACCTATCATCTGTTTCTCAAAGCCAGTTATAAGCGTCTCTCTGCTTCATCACAATTTCTTTCAATAGATGATTTATGAAGGAACTTTCAATGCACTGCATGCATCTGGATCAGGAGAGTTGAAAACGCTGAAAACCTGCAGTATAACGGCACTTCAAGATCAACTTAGGACACGCCTGCTTGAAGCAAACCGTTTCCTCCCTATTCAAAGGTTAATGCATAAACCAGTCAGACAGGTCTGGAGTTGGGTGATAAGGGAAGGAGCCACGGGGGAGGACAAGAAACGGGTTTGAATTCATACCGGTAAGTTAACGTTCATGTTATTTTCTTTTACTGGCTTAAAACAAAGATCACAAAACGTATGCTGATTTTTGGCTAATTTTAGTTCAACTTCCGCTTTCTGTTTTTCCCCACAAAGCAGACGTTCAGACTGGGAGACAGTAGACTGGTTGTTCTCTAATCGTCTCTGATGAGATTAGGAAGCTTTGTCTGAATTCAACTTTATGTTTAAGGGTGTTTTCTGAACCAACATATAAAGCTCTGTCAAAAACCTCATCCATCTGCAGGTTTGATTTCTAATGTTGCATTTTTTAATCACTTGCTCTAGATTGTCAAATACATGATTTATGCTTATTCACTGAGAGAAAACAAGTTATGCACATTGGTCTGAGTCAGCTATAAAGACTTGTTTAGAAATCTAAGATTGATTATAATAGTCTGATTATCTCCAAGGCTTTAAAGTAAAGAAATCATCTAAAAATAACCCATCTAACAGTAAGTGGCTTATAAGTAGGCTTATAAAGCAATGTATCAGGTGCCGATCTTAAAATATTTGAGCATGGATGCGAAACAGTCGCTGTCGATCTGGAAATGGCTACAAAGTGAGAAAAATGGAGAGAACAGTGGAGAACACTCCAAGGAGAGGCCGAATTAACAAAAATGCTCCAAGAGCTGGTTTGCAGAAAATCCAGGAGGTCACAGAAGAACACAGAACATCTAGAGCTCTGCAGGCCTCACTGCTTCGGTAGGGGTCAGAGGTCTTAGACTCAGAGAACTTTTATTGTCATTTTGTTTACACAGAGTGTATACAAAACGGAATTAGTACAGCTTTCAGACAGTAAATTACATTTCCATTCCATAAAGTGCAGCAGTGATCAAATGTAATGATAAAAAAATAAGACACAGAAATTGTGAAGAAATGGCATCAAAGTTTAGAACCGATCCTGACTTAAAACAACATAAAGGCAACATAAAATCTTAACGATCCCCAAATATCTGGTTAAAATATTCTATAGACCGCTGAGACAAAATATGAACTTTAGGAAGGTCCTGTTACTTTTGGTGTAAAAAAAAAAATCACAGAATTTCAGGAAAAGACCATATTCTCTATCTAGTCAGACCCTCTGGATTAATGTGTTCATCAGGGGCAGAAGTAGGAAATACCTTTAACTGAACCTGTTAGTTTTATAGAATGAGTGATAATTGGTAGATCATAAAGTGTCACTATTTTTACCTATTTCCCATTACGTTGATTCAGTTAATGTGGTTTGGTAAAACATCTCATTAAGCCTTTTTTCTGCCTCCAAAAAAGATCAAGACCTTCCTTAACTCTGCCGGACAGAATGCTGTTTGGTTTATGCTCAAAGGTTCTGTTGAACTCTCTGTTTATGGACGGGTCCGGCAGTTTGTCTAGAAACGAAAATGAAACCCTTGCTTCTTATTTGGTTATATTTTGTTGTTTTTTTTGCGAAGGCTTTTACTCACCTGGTAAATTTAACTGAAGTGAATGGTTATAGGTTACAATTACAATGGATTATTTACCCATAACTGTTTTTTTAAGCAGCTTGAGTTCACTGAAAACCAATTATCAAGATCTGCAATAGATTCAAAGTTGAAGTTTATGTCTGGACTTTGACTAGACCGTTTTAAAACTTGGTTAACTCGTTCTCCTGTCGTCTCTGGTCTCCTACAGCTTGTAATAGGTTTTCTTCCAGGAATGTCCTGCATTTGACTCCTTCGCATAAACTTTGACCAACAGAGAAGCTTATTTCATATACTTGCATTTACCTTTGCATGGTCTGTGTTAAAATGTTGACAGCTTGACAATTCTATGTTTCAGGTATTTTTCATGGCTTTAGATAAGATAAGAGATAAGCCTTTACTATCCAATAAAAAGATAATTTGGTTTACATTATCTGTCAGATGCCTCCTATATAATAACACAAAACACATAAAATGTACTTATCATAATTTGAACTAATTCCAGATCTGCAGTAAGCTCATTTATTCTTCCTCTTGTTTAGGGTCCCACCAAGGAACAGACCAACAATGACATCGTCCAAAGAGCATCTCTGGAAGACCCTAGAAAACCTGACTAGTGATGAGTTCAAGCAATTCAAGTGGCTGCTGAAAGAGGATTTCCCAGCGTCTCGATTGGAAAAGGCCGACCGCCAGGACACGGTGGACCTGCTGGTGCAAATGTATGGCTGTGAGGAAGCTCTGAGGACATCCACGCTGGTTTTAGAGAAGATCTACAGGAATGATTTGGCACAGCAGCTGTTAAAAACAAACTTGAAGCAGACAGATAAGCTTGAAAATGGTAAATATCAGATTGATAAGGTATTTTTATTATCACGTATGGCTTTCCATTGGTCTGATCAAATTAACGATTTTTGCTTCAAATTAGGCCCAAGGATCGGGAATGGTGTTGGTTCCAATGGTGAAAGTGCAAAGCAGAAGGCCAGACTTGATGAAATGAGGACAGAAATAAGTCAGAAGATAAAAGAGAGAGAGGAGAAGATCTGTGAGATCCAACGTTCAGCAGAGCTCAGCAGGAAGTCTGCAGAGCGACAGACAGAAGAGAGCGTGCTCGCCTTCGCTGGTTTAGTTCAGCTGGTTGAGAAAAGTCTATCCCATCTCACCGAGGTCATCGAGTATGAGCAGAAAGCTACACAGAAGCAAGCTGAAGAAATCATCAAGGATCTACAGCAGGAGATATCAGAGCTTAGCCAGAAAGAAGCTGAGCTGGAACATCTTCTCCTCACAGAAGATGACGAGAAGTTTCTCCAAGATGTTAAAACCTCCAACTTAACAAAGATCAGCATAACTAAACCGTCTTATAGCGAAAGTGTAAAAACCTCTGTGGATAAGCTGAAAGTAGCACTCAGTGAAGAGATGAAGAAGTTTTACAAAAAAGCCAAACTAATCTGGATGCAGCAGTTTGCAGTAGACGTGACTCTAGATCCATTAACAGCACATCCCCAGCTCGTTATATCTCAAGATGGGAAACAAGTTCACTGCAGAGCTACTCAGCCAAATTTCCCAGACAGGCCAGAGGACATCAGTGTGTTGGGCAAGGACAGCCTTTCATCTGGGAGCTCTTACTTTGAGGTAGAGGTAGGACAAAAAAGCTCCTGGGATTTAGGAGTCATCTATAGATCGATTGGCAGGCAAGGACCAACGGCAACGGGTCCCGGTGCTGATCTCTGGAAATTTAGCTTAAGGGATGGAGACGGGGATAAATCAGCTGGTGTGGATTTGTTTCAAAAAGCTCTGGTGAACAAAGTGGGTGTTTATGTGAATTATGAGAAGGGGTTGGTCTTGTTTTGTGACGTGGATTCTGGAGAAATGATTCGTGGATTTTCAAAATGCTCCTTTAAGGAAAGCCTTTATCCATTCTTCAGTTTTGGAGGCAATAATAGTCATCTAAACTCTGACCCTCTGGTCATCTCTTCTCCTTAGTCTGCTACCTAATAAGCACTTAGCTACCGTAACTTCAACATTCATTTTATAAATCCTAGGAATTATGGTTTCATTTTTTTTTATCAACTGTAACTTTAGTGTGTAACAAACAAGAAAGAGGGGTTATTTTCACTGTCCTCCCTACAAAATACCAACTGTCTGCTTTACTCCCCACCTGTCTCCACCCCACCCGAGATTGAACGTTTTCTACTTTTTACCAACTATCTTCATCTCCTTCCACTATACCCATGAATCATCTGTGTCTTCTTCCTTCATCCTGTCCAACCGTTCCATCGCTAACATGTTCTGTCCAATTAATTCATCATCACCAGATGTCTTGAACAACCACCTTTACAATACATTTGCACAAAGTCATATCATGCCCCCCTGCTGTACTCAGTATAATACTGTGAGACTGCCATTCTTCCCCCTCCTTTGCCAGAATCTCTCTTCTGGGAGAGTCACATCGGAAAGATCTTCTGAATAGCAGCCCAATAATCTTAATTCTGCAACCCCCACTCAGCGTAAGTGAACCCGGTGGTTAATCTCAGAAACAGTTTCTGTAAAATAGATTCTCTGTACCAGTTCTCTTTGGTTTTACAGGAATTACTTTCAGGTAGCAGAGACCGGAACCATAGAGCATCCAAAAGGTAGTGATGGTAATTTCGAAGCCCTGTGAACAAATTAACCGATATGACGCTACTGGCTTAAACCGGACACCACGGAAAATACATTTGACGCAGTTCAGAATGGCGACATCTGCTGGATAGTTATGAGAACTACATTTGAGTTGGTCTCCTAATGTCTGCATTAATTCATAGCTGAACTTGTTTGTTTCAAAATAATAGTAATAATAATGCAAATATGAATAAACTATTTAAAAAATGGCTGAAATTTTCTCAAATTTGTAATATAATAAAGATGTATTCTGATGTACAACAGCAGTTGAAGTCTTTCTGAGCTAAATGATGTGTTATTATACCTCAAACTATGATACTGTACTTTAGGCTGTTTTTGACTAAATGTTATTGGGAAAGGCTGTGTGTTTTCAGGGTTGCAAACAACATAAATTCATCAAGAAAGGATTTCTAAAATAGTTTTGAAGATTCTTTGGTAATTGAAACAATACAATGTTACAAAAGATGATCATATTAAAGGAAAAGTATAAATAAAACAATGCAGCACTGATTTTCCTTCTCTTTGTCCCTTCTTCACTTTATACAATCAGTCACACACACTGTCACCCTTAGTCAAAGACCTCTTATTTCAACAAAAGACGGAAAAAACTATCAGTTATTCACCCGACTCAATCATCAAACTATTTTCTATATCTCAACTAATTACTGATGTGTAAAGGTTTGGGTGTCTAAAGCCTCTTTGCCACAGAAAAGAGCTAGTAGTGCATGTTGTTTAAACATGGATTGCCCCACTAACAATCCGCATTTGGCTCCATTTCAACTGGCAACGCTGGCTTAGAGTTGATGATGTTACCAGGGCGACGGAAACCTAGAAAGTAAACAATGGCGAGAAATATATAAGGAAACCAGTGCATAGTAAGTGTGTCTTATCTGTCCAAATCACTCTTACCAGTGCGGATCTATGTTTATCGAATGTAAAAAGAGTTGTTTCTGTAAGTTGCCTTCTATGGTGTCAAGTAATTTGGCAGGTCAACCCTGGTCTGGTGTTCCCACAACATGTCGATCAGAGTCCAGACGAATTTAACACAGGTCGCTTCGAATCGTTAAACTCGGGTAGACAGTGAGCTGTTCCCACTGCCACTAAAAGCCTGTGTTTTGTTATGTATGAACCAGAGATGGGGACTCGAGTTTGTGACTCGTACTCGAATCGCACTTAAGTCGCATATTTAAGGACTTCAGACTCGACTTAAACTTGCATTTGAAGGACTTCAGACTTGACTGAGACTCGTGATTTCCGACTTGTGAACAATATTTTATTCTAGTGTAAAAACACTTATTCAAGTGTTTGTTTTGCTAACTTGACTGATCGCCGCTCGCCTTACCCGCACACAGAAGAGGTAAAAAAAAAAAAAAAAAAGTAGCACTTGTGGCCAGTATGGCCCCACACTCAGTCTTTGACACAAGGGGGAGCAAACAACTCAAAGACCCATACCGTGAAGCACTCAAGTTCAAGTGTTTTATTTATACAAAAAGCCACAGCAAAAGTGGCATAATAAAACAGTCCTTTTCTTCTCCTGATAAAACCTAAAATTCAAGAGTTTTCCTTAAAAATCAGAGGCTGGAAGTTGGGCTCCGCTTGTTATGCTGCTTCTGGTGCGAGTGATCGGCCTGCAGCACCCACGGGCTGATCCACAGCTGACTCTGCGGCGCTCCAGCACTGTTCCACTCCCTGGCGTGCCACACCCCTTTCCAGACCAATCCAGCTAAAAAGAGAAGCAAGGAGAACGCCAGCATCCACGCGCCAAAACCCCGTCGGAAGATATATTCCTGTTTATGCTTTAAGCGAGGGGGAGCGCTACTTACAGGCAAGGTTCCTCCTCTGCCCTAATACTCCTTACTGGACCATCTGTGCACCCTCCTGGCGCACGGACCCCGCCTGCCTCTCCCCCGGCAGCGAGTCCGTCTCTGTCACCTGCAGATTCCGTTCTCCTTCTCCTTTCCTTCAGACTCCTTTTATATTGGCTTTAATCAGCCCTTGCTCACACCTGAGCAAAGAAATACACGATGCTTGGTCCACCACATCTAATTTTATCAGCCACAGTGCAGTGCAGGTGTACAGCCAGGGACATCACAGACATAAGGCAATAATTCAGGACCTTATTATTTCATGCAACCTCCCCTTGTCTTTGATGGACAAGCCCAGCTTTAAAAGCTTCATGGCAGTGGTAGAGGAGAAATATGTTGTGAATAATGTTGTAAATTGGCGCTAAATAAATAAACTGAATTGAAAATAGAAAAAAAGTTATTGCCACAATGTTTCTTTTATAAAAGTATTGTTATTGTCCTGCTGTTAGGGTTTTTCTTTATCTCTTGTAGTTGCTAACCTCATATGTATTAATAAAAGGCAGTATTGTGATTGTTTTTTTCCAACAGTCCTCATTTTCATTTAAAAAAAAAAGAGCAGACATTTACTGCTAAAACTAGAAAAAGTTGTAACCACAAATGTCAGGTAAATACTGTAAGAAAATAGTTTTTTTTTTTAAAGAAAAAAAACTAAAAATGCAAAATTTATCTGGAAAAAAATTTAGCATGTGTGCTTTTTTTTATTGTATTTTTCAGTTCAAGATAATGATAATTCCATAGATATAATAGCGACCTTTAAGCTATACCATCTCAGTGACGGAGATGAAAACACAATGAGAAACAAGCAAGCACGAAAATTATTGCACTTTTTTTAATTAATCAAGTGATTAGAATTTTTTGTGCGATTAATTGATTATTGCGACAGGCCTTCTCAAGACTTGAGACTTGACTTGGACTTGAGCTCTCAAGACTTGAGACTTGACTTGGACTTGCAAAAAATGACTTGTGAACATGTCTGGTATGAACAGTAGGTAAATAAAATAAATGTTCAAGCAGATAACTGAACATGCTGAGGTTTATTCTCAAACACAAGAACAGCTCTCCTCAACCAGCACCCCAGCAAGCTCAACTCACTTTTACGACAAGAGTGCCCTCTACTGGTGACTGCTTATACTCACAACAGCCTCCAACACATAGGAGCAAAAGCAGACCCAAATAAGTTTACACTTCACATCTGGAGGAACAGTAATGTCTTAGTCTGGAACACCACAGGTTTAGACAGGTTTCTCTGCCGGTGTGAAAGGGGACTATACTGTAAGTCTCTATGAGTCTGTAATGTGTCTGCTACCATTGGGACAATTTCCCAGACATATGCTACATTTAGAGGACTTGAAGGCACGCATGGAGACCAACAACTGGTCCCCATAAGGAGGTCTCTTCTTTGAGTAGGTGTTATGTTTAAGACTAAGGTGTAAATTGAGTTTAGGGTTAGGTCTTAGAAATGAATTCAGGTCAATGGGAAGTCCCCACATGGATAGTATGACGTGTGTGTGGATGTCTCTGTCTAATTTAGATCTATGTGTAGTTCGTGAACCTTCCATCTTCTTGATTATTTCGGCAAATTGCAGGGTACACCCTGGACAGCTCGTCAGTCTGACGCAGGTCAACACACAATACACACATACAACCATGCACACACACACACAAACTCACAGCCAGGGACAATTTAGACAACCCAATTAACATTCGTGTTTTTGGACTATGAAATAAAGCCGGAGTACCCAGAGGGAAAACAAACATGCAAAGGGAGAACATGGAAGCTCCATGTCGAAAGACCCCGGGCCAGGGAGCCTTCAACCTGCAACAGTGCTTCATGTTGCACCACCCCTGCAGCCCTATCTACACTAAAGGTAATATACATTTTCTCTCTCTGTCTTTCTCTTTCTTTTTTTTCTCTTTTTCAAAACCCATGTTTGAGACATCATTTTGATGCCATACTTGATGAGTAGGATCAAAATGCCCACATTATTCAAATTTCCTGCAAAGTGCTTCAGGACCTGAACTTTTAAGTTGCCTCATCTTTCCAAAATGTAAATTAACAGATGTTACAAGTCTGGTAAAGTTACGGAAAGAATTTCCAGCTAAATTATTTGGTTTTCAGATGTATTTTGGAATTCAGATGTTAACATGTGGTTTTATTGTTTGGTAAACTAAGCTAACAAAAAGCTAGCTCACTGAAAGGTCATGTGTTTTGAGCTGCTGTTTATAAAGTTACTCTTTATTTAAAAAATGATTTAAACACCAATATTAGATTAATTTTTTGTTTCCTGATATGCTCATTACATTTGATTGCTAAAATATGACCAAAACATCCTTTGTAAATAAGTCCAATGTGTTTGCTGGCCACTACCTTCATGCTCTTAATGAACCAAACAAAGTAAAAAAAAAAAAATAAAAATCTAAAGGATCCACACCCTATTTACTCCCTCAGGAACAATCACAATGATGTCTGATTGGATAGCTACCTATTTGATTTGCACCATGAATTGATTTGAAAACATCCCAATTGCTCCAATTTGGAATGTATTCAAATGGAACAGCTGACTTGATCTGATTTTAAACTTCTTAGTTTAGTTGAGTTTTACTCGTTTAAAATCGAAAATCCCTTTGTTTTCCCACTTGGGGGGAAATTGTGGTGTTACAGCAGCAAAAGCATTACAGTGAAAGTGGTCACACAAAAGTATACATTAGAAAGTGTATAAAAAACAGAATAAGTGGCAGAATAAAAAAATAAACCAATAAAATAGAGTACTGTACAGTATTAATACAAATTTAAATACGGTGTAGTCATCTGGAGAATAAATAATCAATATACAGCTGAGGACATTTTTACAATAGTGGATCTATGAAAATAGAAGCAACACCAGATATGAGCAAAATGACAGCAGCATGTTATATCAGTCACAAGTCAGTTTAAATGAAATGTTTATTTTGTTAATAAATTCTTATATTATGAATGGATGGTGTAGTGAATTTATTCCATGTGTCTGGAGTTAACTGTTTTAACATGATGTTGGCTCAATTCACTCTCATTTGTTGTCCAAACAAACAGCCAGATCAGAGTTTGTTTACAGAACAACATATGACAGTCTGAATGATATTTGATTTAATAACATCAGTTACAACATTTAATTAAACCAGATTTAATTGCTGTCCTCTGGGTGGGCACTGGATGTAAAGTTATTGCAAAACAATTGTGTTGAAGTCCATCATTCTACAGAAAAGGGCGTCATAGATGGGTGGAAAACATTTCAAATTGTCGCCAACCTTCTCAAGAGAGGAGGATCCAACAAGCTCAGATCCTGAAAAGATCTCTGTAGGCCTCAGTCAGAAGGTTAAAGGTCATTGTTGACTGGAAGGATAGACTGGAGACCTATTATGCACAGCACCATGCTTGAGAAATTCAAACCATATCACCACCTTATATTGCCAGGTATGGTGAAGACAGGACTACACTGTCTTTCAGTGTCCTGTTTCTCTGACTGTGACTGGCTGGATGTGCTCTCCTCATCCTCTGACATGGGAGCTGACTTGGAGCTCGTCTGTCTGGCTTTCCTGGACAGGGCCGCCTTTTACATCTCTACATTTTACTGTATTTCTGCTTCTGTCTCCTTGAACCCGATTCGGTCTTGGCAGATGGCCGCTCGCACTGAGCCTGGTTCTGCTGGAGGTTTCTTCCTGTTCAAAGGGAAGTTTTTCTCTCCACTGTCGCTACAAGCATGCTTGAAGTGAGGGATTGCCTTCGAGTCAATTAGTCATTGCAGTCAACTGGTTTTCCTTAGAAAATTTTGGATCAATTTGACTGTATGATCTGGTGAACTGTAAAGTTCCTTGAGATCAATGTGAATAGGCGCTATAGAAATAAACTGAATTTAATTGAAATAATATGGGTGCATTGTGGTTAAATTGTCCACCAACTCTAGTTTGTGTCATGTTCTAGTGCAGAGGTTAAAAGAACTGTGGGTTCATTTCCAAAGCATGTAATACTCGAGCCAAAGTCACCAACTCATCTGTCTATTGATATTTTAATGAGTGCAGCTCTGTTGTTAAAGTGGTTTGAGTCAGTTTACCATCTTAAGTCGGCAAAACGTCTGAGAATGAAAATAAACCAAAATGTGGCAACGGTCCAGTCAAAGCCTGGGCTTAAAGCTTATTTCTGAGACACCCTTGGAGGGAAATATATATGAGCCAAAATTCCAGCAAACGTGGAGAGAAACTGCTGCAGCCAGAGCTTTAAAATCTCCTTTAGAATGTCTGCTAGAGGTGGTCCTACCAGATCATTCTACTCGGTTCTGACAGGAACACTTTAATTCCCTAACTTTTTCCAGAATTTAGGACTAAGCTCCAATCTGACTGTAACTCCTGCTTTAACAGAAGCTGATTTATGGTCATTATGGCAGCCGTAAACTTCAGTGTTTACTGAAGCTGGTCTGTTGGATAGAGCTAGGCTCCTCCTCAACAAACACAGGGGCTGATAAGAGACAGTGACGTCTCAGAGGGGGGAGGACAGGAAGTCAGGCTGAGATGGAAGGAAGGAGGAAACCGTTAGGTTAGGCCTTACAAGCAAAAGTACAAATTTCATTAATCAGAGCTGGACACAGAAAGATTTTAGTCGTACTTCTGTATTTAAACAGCTGCGAGTGGATTGGACTGAAATGGGTGAGTTTCTATTTTTCCTTTGCGGTAGTTTCCATAAATAACAGCTCTAAAGCTCAGGTTTACTTTCTGTTTAATTAACACTACATGCCGTCGCACGTCTGTCCCAGAGCCAGCTGCAGCTTTCTGAAGAGCCTTACAAACACAGACAGGATTTTTGTTTTCATCAGAAGCCTTTAGTTTTTACTGTTAGATAGAAAACAGAAGAAAGAGGAATAATATAGCACTATAAAGGGGGAGGTTTTAATCTGTAATATTTTCTAAAAGTTAGTCCAACAGTAAACTGAAGCAAAACGAAAGTCAATCAAATTACTGGAGCCGAATACCTGGAGCTGGTTTTTCCTCGTTGATATAATTCAGCCACAGGGACACATTTATCAGGCAAGTCTTTAGAGTGTAAATGACGGATGTGTAACTAACCAAATATAATATGAATTACTTGCTAAAGTTAGGTAACAGATTACAGATCGCAGTCCATCAAACAGCAGATTCCCCCAACCAAGTATCAATAAAGAACGGTACAAAACGATCAAGTGATTAATTTCTTTTTATTTTACAAATAAATATCTAAACCACGAGCTGTGAGTTTTTTGCACTTTGAGGAAACCAGAATCTCCATGACACCTGTCAGCAGATTAAAACATGCTCTACTGTCCAGCTGAAGCTAAATTTCAAATTAAATTCAAATGTTCCTTTCTTCTCATTAGAAAACCCTTAAACTCTATTTATGGCCCCTTTGCTCAAAATGAGGAATGCAAAGTTTGCAGCCGATATATAATATTCGTCTGTTCATGGCGGCTCCTGATGCTCTGACATTGGTCTCATTCCACTCCTTAAAAAGCTCCCTAAACTTTTAAATACATTTTATTTAAAAATAATCTCAATGATGAAATCATTCCTTTTGGTGACACATCTTTTCATACAGCACTGTTTCATTCCACCCAACTTTCTCTCAGTGTGTGTGGATGCCTGTACTTGAAAGCCAGCTTCTTTATCAATGATCTTATGACTGTTGGACATCTGGCCAGTCAACAGCTTTTTAAACAATCCACTTGGCTCTAACATGAAACTTATGGATTAAAACTAAACATTTTATTCATCTTACTTTCAAATTTTCTGAGACAGAATTTTGAGTTTTTTTTAAGCCATAATCATTAAAACTACAAGCCATACAAACTTAACATATTTCACTATGTTGAATAAATCTATATAATACACACTGAAATTAAGTTTCACTTTTTATATGTACTGTTCCTTCATAACATCCTGGTATACTAAAAAGCTCAGTTCTGAAAAATGTTGACTGAATGATCTGGTTGAATTGTAAAGTACCTTTAGATGACGTGTTGTGAATTGGCGCTATATAGTTGAATTATTAAGATAACTATTTCCCACCTCAGTTCTAAAAGAAAAATGCAAGTAAAGAGACGTGTAGCAATTATATTGAAGCACTAGAAGTATAAGTATTTTTTAAACATAAAGCCACTAATGTGCTGTTTATCCAAAGTATCAAAGTAAACATACATCTATGTATATTCTTTTCATCTCAGGAAAAGCTTATTTATAGAACAAAACTAGATATACAGCAGCAGCAGCTTGTTGGATTTTCTGTCAAAGAATACATGAATTTAAATTTGACAATTTTTTTCTGTTTATATTTCCTTCACCAGGAGTAAATCCCCAAACATGGAAAGACTTAAGGTGGAGCTCTTGAATACTCTGAAGAACTTAAAACAAGCTGACTTTGAAGAATTTAAATGGTTTTTGAAGCAGGATAACATCTTGGAAGGTCAAAAAGGAATCCCAGAGGATGATATGGAGAAGGCAAAGGAAAGATGGCAGACGGTTGATCTGATGGTACGGAAATATAACGGCCCTGGGGCAATGCAGGTGGCAATTCAAATTTTACAAGAGATTAGAAAGAACGACCTGGTGGAGCAATTAAAAGAATTCTGTAAAGGACAAAAAGGTAAGAGACAAATGCATTTATGTTTTTCCAAATATTCCTGCAAAATTTAATGTGAAATCACTAAACAGGTAATTTAGAAAGTAGCCTACTTGTCAAACATGTAGGGTTTCCTAGAGAAAGTGGTTCTCTTTTCTGTATCAGACTAAATGTTTTTAAAGTTCTTTATTTTCTTTGCTTTTATAAACCAAATCAAACATGAATGCAGAATCAGGTACTAAGAAGTATTTTGTTTTCTAGGACTTCTAAAGCTTGACCAGGGACACCATAAAAGCTCACCTTTTGACCTTTTCTGTTGTTTATATTTACTCAATAATGAAACATCTAAGACCACTGACTGGATGCTGGTTGTACAGATAGTGGAGGGAAAAGATATTTAAAACATACCGAATACACACCCTAGGGGAACTCCTGTGCTCAGCTTGATGGTCATACTATTCCTGCCTGAAAATCCAGTTATAAAGAACTGTTGTAGTTTAAACTGCTCTAGCCTCTCAAAACCCACCGTTTTAAAGCATTTACATCTAATAACTCAGAATGCATGAAAATTACACAGGTAAAATATTTACCAATAGACATGTTGGAAAGCTTAGATTCTCCACAATTCAACCACCAAGTGAATTTTATGGACATAGCCAGCAGCAAAGCACCATTAACAAAGATATAGCAGCATGTCAAAATGTAAACATGACAAAGCAACCATAACAAGCATGTCTTTATTACTGCTATTTAAAAAAATACCTATTATTTTCTATAGTAATAAAAAAAACTTTTTAGTCATATTTGAACTGATGCAGCTCGGGCTGTGTTTTACTCAATTTTAAAAGAGTAAACATAAAAAATATAACCGCGGATGTCTGGGGAACAGTGATTCGCCTACATGTTATGAATGCTGCTGTACCACAAATAATAAATTATGAACAGTTTAGTTTGTGTCTTCAACTCGTTGCCCATAGGAAGACGTTACTTGAATATAACAAAACCGAATATCTTCAGAACAGCTCCAAATGACACAAAACTAATATGAGTGAGTAGAACATGTAATAACATAAAATCAAGGGGCAAATGTAAAAAAAAAAAAAAAAAAAAAAACGGCATTCCCCTTTAAGAGGCTAGAACAGATGTTGATGAACAGAAACCTGACCTTGCAAAGTCAGACTTGCAAATATTAAAGACCCATCAACAGCTTTGTACTTTTGCCCTTAAAGCAACATTGTGCAACTTTTGGGCCAAGTATTAGATTAAATTGAGATTACTTTAGTGCCTTTTTCAGGTAAATAGAGATCAGCTGGTGCCCATCGATGCTCTCTGCAGAATGCCCTTCTCAAAAACTCCCCTAAGCAACTTCAGGGTTGGATGCATCACAGAATGGCTCATGTGATCCAGAGTGTCATTTTACTTTTCATGCCATCTCAAAAGGAATGAAAGATTTTTTTAAGCACTAAGCTCCTTCTTTTCACTGTAGACAAGACAAGCCATGATCTGCTTATCTGTTCTCAATTTTTAATTTGCATGAAATAATAGCTGCATGAATCACGACAGCAGACAAGATAGAGGAGAACAGAAGGCAGGGTTACCAATCTACTCGCTCTGGTGAGCAGAGTTTGCTGCTTTTATATGTTGCCGCCAAAGTGTCCAGTAGCAAAAAAAAAAAAGTCAATAGATCCGGCACCTGGTACTTTTTTAAATAAAAGTGCTAATTTGGCAACACTGGCCATCGCATCGTTTGTTTTCAAATGGTTTGCTAAATCAGAGAATAAAACAATGTGACTGGCTGTAAGGAGAGTGGAAATAGAGGACACTGAGTTTACTAAATAAAACCTGGTCCCGACCAGCTCTGGGGAGAATGTTACTATAGTGACTGAAACAGAAGTTAAAGAAACTCTCTTTGTGAACAGGAAAAAAGTCAGAGTTTCCCTGTTTTGAGGTTTAGACAACTTAAGAGTTTTTGGTAAACCTGCTTCTTGAAACAGACCCCAGGTTCTGAATGCAGTCGGTTTTGAATATCGTAGAGAGGAGAGAACTCCGTTTCACACTGAAAAAGTTTGGGAGATACTCCCAAACCCAGCTTCATGAGAACAGTTCTCTCCTGGTCAATTGCAGTAAATTTAAAAATACCCCTTGGTGAAATTAAAATCTTAAAAAACTACATGTAATATAAAAATACCATTATTTCTGTCAAACCATACTATAGACAAGTTTGTTTATCATTTATACCAATGTACAATCAATTTAATTAACAGTAAGGCTTTTCTTTGTTGTAGATCTCAACCCTCGACCGATACGGGTTTTGACAGACGGTATTGGAGAAAAGGAAGCCGAGCTGGAAAAGCTTCGTGAGTTTGCAGTGGACGTTACTCTGGATCCTGATACAGCGCATCCAGACCTCGTCCTCTCCAGCGACGGGAAACAAGTTTACGACACTGATGTCACTAAAGATCTCCCAATGACCTCCAACAGATTTGATAAATGTGCCAGTGTGGTGGCAAAGGAAACGTTTTCGTCAGGGAAGTTCTACTTTGAGGTCCAGGTTGAAGGGAAGACTGACTGGACTGTTGGGGTGGCCAGGGAATCCATCAACCGGAAAGGGAAAATCAACCTGAGCCCTGACGAAGGATTCTGGACCATATGGTTGAGAAACAAGGTTTATGAAGCTTTGGCAGACCCTTCAGTTGTTTTACCTCTAAAGTCTCGTCTTCAGAAGGTTGGAGTGTTTGTGGATTATGACGATGGTCTGGTCTCCTTTTATAATGTAGATACAGCAGATCTAATCCACTCCTACAAAAAATGCTGCTTCAAAAAGAATCTCATAATATACATCAATACAAGTAGTAATAACCAAGGTTTAAACTCTGCCCCGATAATTATAACTCCAGTAGTTCACAAGATAAACAAGGCAGAGTTGAGGAGTGTCAAGGAGTTTGCTGTCGAGGTGACTCTGGATCCAGATACAGCTCATCCTGAACTGATCCTTTCTGACGATGGGAAACGGGTACATCAGGGAGATGAGAGAAAAGACGTCCCGGACAACCCCAAGAGATTCAGTGACTGTGTTAACGTTTTAGGAAAACAGAGTTTCTTCCGTCAAAGGTTTTACTATGAGGTCCAGGTTAAAGGCAAGACAGACTGGACTCTAGGAGTCGCCACAGAATCGATTGACAGGAAAGGAGAAATCACACTGCAGCCTGAAAGTGGTTTCTGGACTATCTATCTAAGGAACGGGGAGGAATACGAGGCATTCGATAAACCCATAGTGCGTTTAACAAGAAGGTCAAATCCTCAGAGAGTAGGAGTCTTTGTGGATTATGAAGGAGGTCTGGTCTCCTTTTATAATGTAGATACAGCTGATCTTCTCTACTCCTTCAACGGCTGTTGCTTCGCTGAGTGTCTTCTGCCATTCTTTAGTCCCTGTACCAACGTTGGAGGAACAAACTCTGCTCCACTGATTATTTCTCCTGTCAGTTTCTTTGACTAGAGCAATAAAATATGGAAAACAAAAAAAAAAAAGCATCATGTGAAAGTTAAAATCTGATGAGCAGATCAATGACTAATGAACTAAATGAATGAGTTTGCCGTTATTTTTATTTTTAGTAGGAATGTTTCTAATTTTATTCGTTTTAAATGTGTTATTTTCACTTTTACATGTAAATATTACAGATTTTATGTTCCCTTGAAACCCAAACTGAAACTGTTGTTGAGATGCAAAGTATTGCTTTATCACACATATAAAAACTAATACACTAACAGTTTTTAATCTTTTTTTCATTTGTTTCCCATACCCAGTTTCTTTTTTTTATGGCAAGAGTTTAGATTAACTAGAATGTCTTAAAACATATTAAAATGTTTAGTCAAATCATGGCAGCAACTGATTTACCATTTGACAATCTGGGTACGTGCATTGGGGCCTTTCATCATCATCATCAAGTTAATAGGAAAAGCGCTTTTAAACAGCTAACAGCTCAAAACAAAGTGCTGAACATAGTTAACAAAATAATAAAACACAATGAAAGCATAGAATACAGCATAATGATATAAAATAAGGCAATAATTAAAATGTGTTGAATAATCAAGGTCAAAACAGTCCTGCCAGTGTTAAAAGCCAGTGAATAGAAGAAAGTCTTAAAGGAATATTACACCCAAAACATGATTAGCCTTCATTTTCTACTCACCCCCATGCTGAACAACACTCTGGAGTGCTTTTTTGATATCTCAAATGCATCTGGAGATCTGGGAGGCTTCTTGCTGTCTGCTGACATTCAAACCAAACCAGCGCATTCAGCTCGGCAAAGAACTCATGCTCTTCCTCAACACTGAAGTCCTCAGACATTTTTCTTTCGTTGTTTCTTTCTTTGCACAGGTAAACAGCACATTTCTTCTTCTACGCTTGCATTATCGGCAGAGCAGACGCTGAATGCGCACTTTCATGTGGTTTGGTCTGCCGGCTTCCGTAGCGTCGTGAACGCGCAGGCTTTCAGGAAATCCTATACACTACTGTTTATGCTCTAAAAACATTCTAAATGGCTTCGTTTAGAGTAAATTCTGGACGCTACCCACTCAGGACACTTGGAATACATTGGACGAGCAGTATGGAGGAATATTGACACGTTTTTTGTGGACTTTTATGGACCTTTCTGTCTCTGGCACCATAGACCTCCATTATTTGAATGTCAGCAGACAGCAAGAAGCCTCCCAGATCTCCAGATGCATTTGAGATATCAAAAAAGTACTCCAGAGTGTTGTTCAGCATGGGGGTGAGTAGAAAATGAAGGCTAATCATGTTTTGGGTGTACTATTCCTTTAACTGGTGTCCTCCATCTAGCTCTATTCATGTTCTATGGCCAGTGAACCAGTGGGCTGGTCTGTATGTCAATTTTGGGGTGTGACAAAAGTACAGGCCAGAACCAAATAAGTTAACATCCCAGAGTTTACGTCAATTCAGGGCTTTTTTTGGATTCGCCCGTTTTATGGTGGAAGTTTAAAATTGTGAGATTTGCAGAGAAAGCAGGTGCTGATGGGGTTTGAACTTCTCTGTACGTCTATTTCACCCACTGAACTATCAACTATCACAATGTAAACATGGTTTTGCATTCTATGATCCCTTTTAAAACAGCAGATTTGAACATGACCAGCTTTAAGCCTTTTTTATTCAAACAAACAGGCAAAACGGTTTAATCAGTCAACAAAATAATCAAGTTTTTGCCACTGATTGCATTGAAATCAAACAAGCTCTTGACCAGGAGTGTTTTTATCTAAACTTGAAAAGTTTTTAACAAAACCATAACACAAGCTGTGAAACGTCCCAACTAGCGGACGCACAATCAGTACTCTCGTTTGAAATGCTTGTTGAGTTTGGCGACAGAGATGTAGGCGGTGAGGCCGATGAGGAAGACCTGCTTCTGCTCCTGCAGCCACACCAGCAGCATCTTCACCTCACCCTCAGGGCTCCTGTACACCATCTGGAATTCATGGCCGCCATAGTCCGAGGACGGCTTCCTGCTGGCCATGGTGATGTAGATGGGTGAGCTGACACACCAAAAGGGCAACTGGAACTCATCCAGCAGAGTCAGACCCATGATGCAGCAGTTCTAAGTAACACAAAATAATAAAAAATATTCCTGTTACATTCTTCTAGTTCGGGGATTTCTTCCATGCAGCTCAGCCACAAAGCAGAGGGCAGAAGGTTTAACCTCTGGTGAATGGCAACTTTCTGACTGCACTGAGTTAAATACAAAGTTTAGTGGAAGGAAGACCTCTAAAGACTTTAGTCTGGGAAAATGTGGGCGTGGCCTTTTAACTGTACGTTTTTTTCAATCGTTGGACGCAGGGTTTAAAAGTTCATAGCCGACGATGTTTGTTCTCACACTGTGCGGCATGGCGCTCTTATGTGATCTACCAGCTCACACTGTACGTCTAAAACCCACATCGGACTCAGCTCCGCAGTGAGATGGCGCTACTCGGACTCGTCTATCCAGAAGCCAAACCAGTAAAATAGGAAAAAGATAGAGAAATATGAAGCTCACTAGTGTGAAACGCAATAGCACAATTTTGTGCTGAAAGCCCTAAAAAGAAAAGGCGACGACCTATTTGGAAACATGGCTACTACGGTCTGTCAATTTAACAGAAAGAACTCCATTTCAGTTGCACCCCCGCCATGCTTCTGTGTTTTCGTCTGAGAGGAAGAAGAATCTTTGTTTTCCCACTGAACGATTTGCCCACGACCACCTTATGTCGGCCGACTAAATATCAAACATGTTTATTTTTTTCCAAACCTCCCGATTCCTGATTGGGAGGTGGTTGTAAGAGGCTGATCGCCCCTCATTACCCTCTGAAAAATACATGATGCACAACGCACGATCAGGCTGAAAGTCGATTGAAAAATTCTCGCACAAGTAGAGAATCGTCCGTAAATGTAAAAAATCATGCAGTGTATGTGTACTGCAATCTGATCTAAACTTTAGGGAAAAAAAACTTTAGGGTTACATTTTTGCCAGATGTCTTTACCTCCACAGCTCCTTCTATTTCATGGTTTTTCCAGGGAATTCTGATACTTCCAGACAGCGATCTGTGCTGTGATAAATCGGCCCTCTGGATGAACCTGAGCTCCACCAGGCCGCCCTGAATCTGAGAATCTAAGAACAAAGATAAGAGGTTACAAAAAGAGAAAAAAATTTGAAAATATGGATTTCTCAGGACATAATGTAAGGAGTCCTTAAATATACAGACATATTCAAACATTTAAAGAATCAATCAGATGGAATATTTTCCTTTCGGGATGACCTTTCTGCTTCACTGCACCAAGGATGAAGATTGAGGAACTTTCAGTTTTTACACGTTCACTTTAAATTACCTTTGGGGGAAGACAGCTGCTTGAAGTGTCCAGACATAATCATGGTGCTGGTGTTGTGCAGGACTAAGTGTAAAGTGTAGCCATGGAGACCCAGCTCTGGGTCAGAGTCGACCACAGGTGGTAGTTCGCCAGTTCCAAAGTACGGGCTGCAGGAAGGGACAAACACAGCTCTGCAACATTCACTGAGGTTCACTTTTCACAGAAAAAAAAGAAAAATCAACCTAATTTTACGACTTCTTCATCTAAACTGTTGTTTTCCAGGCTTTTAATTAGCCTAGAGGACTTTGGGACTTTTCTCTTCAACATCTTTAACATCACCCAGCCGAGTGTTTGTGAACAGAGTTAGGGGCTCTGCTTCCTTCTGTATGTTCTGCGTGATTTAAATTAGACATTTTTTTGATGTATTTATAGTTGTTCAGTTAAATTAGAATCAGTAAAAATAACAGACGAGCCAGAGCTCCAAGAAAAACATGAAGTAGTATCACCAGGGAAAATCCTGATCCAAACAGTGAAATCCTAATAGATTCTAGTAAATTAATCCATAAATAAAATGAAACGAAAGAGCGCTTCCATATTCTTTAATTACATTTAGAAGCCATAATTACCGACAGGTTAAGACCAGAGGAAAACTGCTACTTGATAAGAAAACCAGTAATCAGCTGTAGTGACACACTTTGGCCAGCAGATGGAGCCATTTTACCAATATGATAAAAATCGGGAAGCTGTTGACATCTAAATAAGTTCAACAGTCTCAGACTTCTTAGAGCAGCAAAGGATGATGGGAAATGTCCTGAAGAGCTCAAAACAAATCAACCAGCAGGGTTTTATTCTGGGAAAATGTTGCTTTAATGCTACACTGCTAATTTAGCTTTAAATAGAACAAACTGCAAATCAGGCTGCAGAACCTGGTCAAAGAGGAAGTTACCCACCAGGCTTTGGAGCCCAGCAGGCTCTTCTCCACCAGCTTATGGAAGTGCAGACTGACCATGATGAAGGCCACCTCCTGGCATTCCTATAAACACACAAAATACATGTAAACAATGGCGACTGACAATGTGGAAAATGATGGAGGTGCTCATTGGTTCTGTTTACCGCCCAGAAGCCCATGATGACACTCGGCTGCAGTAACAAGACCCTCATCCGTTTGTCTGTGCCGATGTAGAGGTGCAGCGTTTCTGTGGCCAGCTCCAGAATCAGAGAGCGCCAGTTTGACCTGGAGGGGAGGGGCAGGAAGGAGGAAACATCAGGCTTTTTCAACACAGATCATCAATGTCAGGCATAAAACTCGACGGAGTTAGAAAAGGAGTCAAAATGTTTGTAAACTTCTAAATCTTAGCTGAAACTGGAAAAATAAAAGTGGAAACAGAAAAAAATAGAAGTTGATATTTAATGTAAATTTTTTTACCTTATAATGTGAACAACTAAGCAGCAAACATGAAAAAATAAGAATTGAATATACAGACATTCCCCCAGTCTAAAAAAAACCTTAAAAACTTCCTCTTTTCATTTCTTTTTTTAAGTGCTGTTTTAGATTTTAGATTTTCAGATTCAAATTATTTTCTCTCAGTTTCAATTTTTTTTGTTTTAAATTCCTTTTTCAGTTTCAGTATCTTTTTTTTTTCTTCTCTATATATATACACTTTCAAATCTGTTATTTCCACTTTCAGATTTTGCCCCAATTCTGACGGGAGTGGGCGGGGAAACCCGATTGACAGCTTGCAGCAGGGCTGGAGAGATGTCCCTTCCATGCTGCATTCATGGACTGTGTGAACTCCAAGTACTTCAGCAAAAGACTCTCTGATATTAACTCGTTCTGGAATGAGGATTAGTGACAGTACCAGTGTAAATGTCTTTAGCGTAGTATTTTTCATAGGATTTTGCTAAAAAGGCAAATAAATGCTGCAGAGAATGTGTACACCAAGTCGCTGGAGTTCCTAAGGTCCGTGAATGCAACATGGAACAGGACATCTCTCTCCAGCGCTGCTGCAAGCCTTCTATCACGTTTCCCCACCAACTCCCGTCGGATTGGGGTCAAAATCTGAATGTAAAAAAAAAAAAAAAACTATCCTGAAACTGAAAAAGAAACTTAAAAAAAAAATTTAAAGAAGTGAATGAATGAATTTGATTCTGACAATCTAAAATCTAAAACTGCAATAAAGAAAAAAAAAAGTTTTGTTTCCCACATTATAAGGTAAAAAAATAGAGATTAAATGTCAACTTCTATTTTTTTGGTTTCAATTGAGTTTTAGAAGTTCACAAACATTTTGACCCCTTTCTGACTCTATAAACGTCAGTCCCTAACGGGGTTTTTAACTCCAACAGAGCTGGTCGAGACTCCAGCGTGATTTTCAGACATCCTGGGATGGATAACTGAGTCCAAATAAAAAGATAAAGGTGAAACTTGTGAAGAATTGTCCTTACTTCCTGCTTTCGGAGCTCCCCTGAGGCTCCATCCTGATGCCGTGCAGCCGGATAGAGCTGATCTGATAGAACTTGAGACAGATTCCAAGGCTCCAGCAGAGAATCATGGACGACTCAAAGAAGTGCCCCTTGCTCTGCTCCAACCTGTGCTCTTTTCCGTCGTGACTGCACAGCGTCAGCTCCCAGCTCACATTCAGGTTCCTGAATGCCACGCAGCAAACCGTCAATACACTGACTTCATCAAACCCGACGTGGAAGCAAGAGCCTGCATAGTGCAGCTTTGTCTAAACTGACTCAGATTCAGAACAGCTTTATAAACCAGAAAACATTCAACATCTGAGGCCTTCAGAGAAAAGGTCCATTTATGGTAGAAGTGAATGAATCACACTCTGCTAATGGTTTAACCAGATTTCATTCAGTCTGGGTTATTTGAGGTCTTATAAAGGTTTGTGCTGGTTCTATATTTACCTGAATGGTTCTGATTCTGTTAAGATGTTTGCATTGAGGTTTTATTCACTACCTGTCGCTTTAAATAAAGTAACTAAAGAACTTTTTAATCAAGCTGATTTCTGTTGCTCTATCAATCCTAATAAAATAAGTCTGTAGCTGGAATGTGGGGAAAAGGTAAGGGTAGGGATACTTTCCTTGATACCATTTGTAATTTCAGATAAAATAGTAAGAACAGCTTTTTATCTTGTAAATGATCTTCTCTGACCTGAGGACCGACACGGTCTGCCAGGGCAGGCCGGTGGAGGGACTGATCTCTCGAAGCAATTTCATCCATTTCTTCATTTCCTGTCCGGTCATCAGATTAAAGTACAGCTTCTTCCAGCGGCTTATCGAACCATCCTCCATTGGCTCCGCCCTGTTATCCGTCACCGTGTGTGTATCTGCGCATTTCGGCTTCCACATCCGTTTATTAAACTTGGACATGTAAATCCTGTGCCACAGGAAGCTGCAGCGACATTGAAGCAGAAATTGCAAAAATGTTAAACAAAACAATCAACTGGACTTTGTTTCCAAGTGTGAAGACGTTTCGCTTCCCATCCAGGAAGCTTTTTCAATTCTAAATGTCGTTGGCGTTGAGCTCAATGCTTTATAGAGTGGACCAAAGCAACATCTTGTTTTGGCTCAGAAAACATGCAAATTGAACCGTACGAACCGGTCCACCCCTAAGGAATGGGGCATTTGACCGCCCATTCCTAAGGGGCGAACCTGTTCGTCCAGACCCGATCATCTCATGCGCCTCTCCTCATGTTGAACCAGTCTTCTTTTACACAGTAAAGTGTCTGTTTGCAGATGTGCATCGGACTGTTATCATCCCAATAAATGGTTGTTATTAGCAGCTATCAGTCCCATAGAACGGCTTCAGATTGTGCCAGTAGGCTCATCAGGTTGTTATCATCGAGTTAATCCTAATCCCAAAGTTATTCCTTTTCCCTTGCGGAATTAATGAATCTATTTGTGTAATCTGAAAATAATTTCAGCAGTTCTTCATTTACTGCAAATATAACTTAATAAAAATAAAATTATTTGCATCTCACCCATATTAAATAAACTAAAAACAAGTAATATATCCTGTCACTGGTTTGGAGGAATCCTCTCCCCATAAATTGTTAATTGTGTGTGAAAAGGTGCCAATCATTCTTTAATAAGATCCTCATCAAAAGGACATGCAATGTTTGTTTTTAAAACCTAATGTGTCCAACGGACCTAGTGAATTCTTTATTTATGCACAAAACTACGACAAAAATTGGACTAAATCAGGAAATGAAACAACGTGAATGGATGTAAGGAGAGCAGAGACAGAGGACACTCAGAGTTTAATGAAGTAAACCTGCTACCGTCCAGGTTAGCTCTGGGGACAATGTTACTATGGTGACAGAAACAGAGGTTGAAGAAACTCTCTTTGTGAAACGGAAAAGTCAGAGTTTCCTTGTTTTCAAGTTTAGGCAACTTAAGAGTTTTCAGTAAACCTGCTTCTTGAAACGGACACCAGGTTCCAAATGCAGTCGGTTTTGTCTCGACTTCAAGAGGAGAGAACTCTGTATCACACTGAGAGGTTTTGGAGATACTCCCAAACCCAGCTTCATGGGAACAGGACTGAAGTTCTCTCCTGGTGCACCCCTTAGGAATAGCGCATTTGAATCCACTTCCCTAAGGACAGATCCGTTCATCCAGTTCAATTTATATGTTTTCTGAGCCAAGGCTTTGATTTTGGTCAAATCTATAAAGCCTTGAACTCAACGCTATTTCTGACATTTTTTTTTTCTTTTTTGGAATGACTACGGCCTGGATGACTGAGAATCTTCACCAGCATATTAAAACAGATGTTTAGACTCCAAGTATTGAAATGTTTTAACTGACTGAAAAAGTGCACGGACTCACTCGTCATTGGAGAGCCGATTGAAGAGTCTGCTCACGTGGCCGACGCAGAACAACGAGGGCGGGTCCAGATAGGACAGAATCTTGATCAGGATCTCGTAGGGAAGTCTGAGGAAATCCAGCAGAGGTGAAGGTTGGTACACCTGACTGATCTCATCCACCAAACTCTTTACTGCTCTGAGAAACACTAGAGCTAAATGTAAGGTCTATAATCCCACAACATGGTGTTTTTTTATGTTGGTTACAATTCAGTATGTTTTATATCTATTTAACTTGTTGTTAGGTTTCCATTTTTCTGCTTACCTTTTCACCCACTTCTAACCTGCTTTTATTCTCCTTTCATATTTTTTTTTTTTTATATTCTGAAAAATGCTGAATTATGTCAGCAAAGTTTGTTTCTTTAAATATATTAGATTGTAGATTTTTCTTTTATGGAATCTTATTGAAACCCAAATATTCCTCAACAAGAACAAAAAGATACAAAATACTGTGAGGATTTAATTAGCTTTTGTTTAAGAGTGGCATAAAACTTTAGGTTACGTAGCAACACGAAAAAAGCAAAAATCCTCGACAATTAAAACTTTACAGTAGTGATGTTATGAGATGAGCCTCTCCCTAGGTTGGTGGTTCAAGAAATGCGTTTGACTTTTGAAAGTTGCGATTTAACTTAATTATAATAAAATATAAAACATAGATTGGGTAAAAACGCTGCCAAATTAGGTCACTTTAGCCAAAAGATTGGTTGAACACAACTTCCAACCCGATCAAAACCAAAAACGTGGAAAAACTATTATGTTTGAATAAAACTGACACCTTTCATTTTGCTCATCACTGCCCAATTTGCACACTTTCACTGTCTGCTTGAGTTTATAAAATAAAATAGCAGAAAAACTGATTGTTCTAAGAAATTTTACACAAAAAAAACTTTAAAAAGATTTTACTATACACCACCAACCATTAACAATTTCTACGACGGAGTATTTGGGCCACACATGAAGAGAAAAAATATTTTTGCCATGACGAGATTAAACTCGACATGTCAACTTTAAAGTCGACATGTCGACATTAAACTCAACATTTCGAGAATAAAGTTGAAATGTCATGTTGAGTTTAATCTCTACGTGTCGACTTTAAACTCGCCCTGTCGACTTTAAACTCGCCATTTCGAGAATAAAGTTGATATATCGTGGCGACTTTAATCTCGACATTCCAAAGTTTGGAGAAAAGAGCAACCGCGCTCCACAGCTGCAGTCTGCGTTTTAAGAGTGAAGGTAGTCTTTGACGTGCTGCAACTGTATAATCATCACAGGAAGCGGTGGCCTAACGGCATAACGTACCGGTAACGTCTTTCCCTATGCTTACCCAGGCTCGCAGTTCTGAATTTGAGAACATGTCAGTCATTTCAACTTTATTCTTGAAATGGCGAGTTTAAAGTCGACAGGGCGAGTTTAATCTCGTCATGGCAAAAATATTTTTTCTCTTCATGTGTGGCCCTAATACTCCGTCGTAAATTTCAAAGGAACTTAAAAGAGGAAAAAATAAAAAGAAAAGCAATTGCATATTTTATTACCAACTGTAGTTCTGCAGTCCAACAGTAGGTGGTGACATGTTCACATGGTGCCTCATGAACTGAGGGGATCATTGAAGCAATTCAGCTCACCATCACTAGTTTACAGCCAATCAGATCTTACTTTACTGTGCAAAGTAGCCAATTTGTCCATTTTAGAATCAATCAGTTTTTGGGTTTAAATTCCCCATTCATGCCCACAGTTGGTCCGCTGCAGAGGCGTAGTCAGAAATGTTTTTATAAGGGCAATAACCAATATACAGGTGCTGGTCATAAAATTAGAATATCATGAAAAAGTAGATTGATTTCAGTAATTCCATTTAAAAAGTGAAACTTGTATATTATATTCATACATTACATACAAACTCATATATTTCAGATGTTTATTTTGTTTAATTTTGATGATTACAAATGACAACAAATGAAAATCTCAAATTCATCATATCAGAAAATTAGAATATTGTGAAAAGGTTCAAAATTGATGGCCCCTGGTGCCACACTCTAATCAGCTAATTAACTCAAACCACCTGCAAAAGCCTTTAAATGGTCTTTCAGTCTAGTTCTATAGGCTACACAATCATGGGGAAGACTGCTGACTTGACAGTTGTCCAAAAGACGACCATCGACACCTTGCACAAGGAGGGCAAGACACAAAAGGTCATCGCTAAAGAGGCTGGCTGTTCACAGAGCTCAGTGTCCAAGCACATTAATAGAGAGGCGAAGGGAAGGAAAAGATGTGGTCGAAAAAAGTGTACAAGCAAGAGAGATAACCGCACCCTGGAGAGGATTGTGAAACAAAACCCCTTCAAAAATGTGGGGGAGATTCACAAAGAGTGGACTGCAGCTGGAGTGAGTGCTTCAAGAACCACCACACACAGACGTATGAAAGACATGGGTTTCTGCTGTCGCATTCCTTGTGTCAAGCCACTCTTGAACCACAGACAGCGTCAGAAGCGTCTTGCCTGGGCTAAAGAGAAACAGGACTGGACTGCTGGTGAGTGGTCCAAAGTCATGTTCTCTGATGAAAGTAAATTTTGCATTTCCTTTGGAAATCAAGGTCCCAGAGTCTGGAGGAAAAGAAGAGAGGCACTTCATCCACGTTGCTTGAAGTCCAGTGTAAAGTTTCCACAGTCAGTGATGGTTTGGGGTGCCATGTCATCTGCTGGTGTTGGTCCATTGTGTTTTCTGAGGTCCAGGGTCAACGCAGCCACATACCAGGAAGTTTTAGAGCACTTCATGCTTCCTGCAGCTGACCAACTTTTTGGAGATGCAGATTTCATTTTCCAACAGGACTTGGCACCTGCACACAGTGCCAAAGCTACCAGTACCTGGTTGAAGGACCATGGTATCCCTGTTCTTAATTGGCCAGCAAACTCTCCTGACCTTAACCCCATAGAAAATCTATGGGGTATTGTGAAGAAGAAGATGCAATACACCAGACCCAACAATTCAGAAGAGCTAAAAGCCACTATTAGAGCAACCTGGGCTATCATAACACCTGAGCAGTGCCACAGACTGATCGACTCCATGCCACGCCGGATTGCTGCAGTAATACAGGCCAAAGGAGGCCCAACTAAATACTGAGTGCTGTACATGCTCATACTTTTCATGTTCATACTTTTCAGTTGGCCAACATTTCTATAAATCCTTTGTTTTTATTGGTCTTCAGTAATATTCTAATTTTCTGATATGATGAATTTGAGATTTTCATTTGTTGTCATTTGTAATCATCAAAATTAAACAAAATAAACATCTGAAATATATGAGTTTGTATGTAATGTATGAATATAATATACAAGTTTCACTTTTTAAATGGAATTACTGAAATCAATCTACTTTTTCATGATATTCTAATTTTATGACCAGCACCTGTATACTGAGGGGAGCCGCAAGTGGATAGGCACCAGAACCTCAGGTTCAAGCACGCACATAATCCTAAATAAAAGACAAACTATAGTAATTAGATGCATAATTTAAACATCTGTCTAGATAAAAGCTATTTTGGATTAAATTCTTTGAGGTTTGATTTCTGGAGCGACCATCTTTTCGATCGTCATTACTTACCTACTTTTATCAATATAATTCTACATTAAATTGATATTTACATGTACTAATATCTGAATAAATTCATTATTTAATAGGTTTTTGTTAAAATAGTTATTTACAGTATCTATGATTTCCCTGAAGACTCTTAGATGACTTGCAGAGATGCATCATATAACAGAAAAAATCTAGTTCTGAAAGAGCCTGAATTCTGTACTAATCATCTCTAATGTTGGTATATTAATGTGCATCATTAACCACAGTGTTTTTGTTGTTAAGTAATTGTTAATATATATAAAATTAAAATGTTTTGAATATTCTACTTGAGAGAAAAAAATGGTAGGGGTGGCCACAGAGATGGCCAATGATTGACTAAGGGTGCCCATGGCCGCCCCTGGCCCCCCATCTAGCTCCGCCCCTGGTCTGCTGTCCTGCAGGTTTTAGAGGTTTCTCTGCTTTAGCACAGCTGATTCTGATTATTGCTGTAAACCAAAATCCTAATAATTAGCTAATAATGGAAGTCAGGTGTGCTGGTCCCTCATTGGTGACATTTAAAGGGGATATTAATAATACATAATTACCTTTCCAACAAGTTCAGTTTGCAAACGGAGGACTTCTCTGGGAATTTTTTTTTTTGTAAACCAGGACAGGTCGGCTGGTCACTACATAAATAAAAAAAGGTTAAAGTTACTCTTTTTAAATGCAAGCAAAGAAAGCGTGAGCGAAGCGCGCAGTCACCTGGTTTCAGTCCCGCTACCTGAACCTTCTCTGCTCGCTTTTTTCTGCTGCGTCTTTCTCCATTTGGCTGAAAATCCTGTCCTCTCAGCGGCAAAAGCTCCTCCGAGGTTTGGCCTCCCTCTGCCAGCCCTCGGTTGTTGTATCTCCGGTGCCTGCTGCGCAGGTTTCCGCTCAAAACCTTCCGCCAAACTTCGAAAAAACTCACCTCGTCCCGCCGCCATCACCTCAGCTCTCTGCGCAGGAAGCAGTGAGGCAGACGCACCGCTAGGTGGCAGCAGAGATTCACATCCTTTGAGCCCAAAGCGGTCCTTTAAAATTTGCTCACATTAAAATGTAAAAAAAAAAACATTTTAATAAATATATACGCCTTTTGTTCATAAACAGAAATACAGATCCAGATTATATCAACACAATGAAATAATGCTCAGTTAGGAATATTTACAGCTTTAAAAATATATGTCAATAGTTTAGCAACAAGAAATCTTTAAACACTATTTCAGATGTTATGGTGGATAATAAAAAAAGATAAGAAAAAACCTGAACCAATATGTTTGTTTTTTTAAGAATTTGAGAAGAAAATCATATTGCAGTGTTTGCCGTGTTGTATGTGAAAGAAAATAAATGCAGTTAGAATAGAATAGAATAGAATAGAATAGAATAGAATAGAATAGAATAGAATAGAAAATCCTCTTGATGTCTATCAATGGGGAAAATTAGTTGTGAACGGCAATATAACAGTCCCACAGGTATATACGTTAAAAAGTCTATGTAAAAAAACTGAATAAGTGAAAAAGGTTCAAAATTAAGGTACAAATAATAAACAGTAAGAGCAGAACGTTTGTAATATAAATAAAGGGTAGTCAGTAAATGAAGGAGAAATAAGCAATAAACTAAGTGAGTAATTATAGAAATAGCAGCAATAGTAAAGATTGGCAAAATGAAAGCAGCATGTCAATTAAAGCTGTCTGCCACTGAAGGACTTCTCCAGGGGTCGGTTTCAATAAGCAGGTTCAACAAATTCAATAATTTTTTTTAAATTATGTTTTTGCAGCAGAAACTGAATTTCAGAAATTTCAAACAATATACTACTTAAAATTAAGTTTTATATACCTAGAAATGTTTACACTTTTTAAGTGGCCGTTTTGACATTTATCAGCTTGACTGAATATCTATTTATGATATCTGAAAAAACTAATTTCATAGTAAAAATAATACAAATGCTTAACAGTAATAGAAATTAATTTCAAGACATCCAGAATGTTTATTCTAATTATGAAGAGTGTAATTTTTTTAAATGGTCATTTTGACAAAGAAATGAAATGCATCTCTCTAACTATCTATAAATATAAATATCAGTGTATTTTGGTTCTCCTGTGTTCTCAACAATAGGAAAACATTCAATAAATGTATTTTTTAACTAATTTAAGGAAAATACAAAAACCTAATGAAAAAGTTTGGGTTGAGTAACTGTAGGTCCATCAGCCCCACCATGGAGCGCTCCCACCCATTTTCATCACAAAGTTACCTTGGGTGGCAGCAGTGTTCTTTCACAGACATGGATGTCTCCAGTAAAGCACATTCAAATTAAATTACTCATACTACTTACTTACTAATTAAAAATTATTAAAAAGTTATAATTCATTGAAAAGTATGTAATAATTTCATACTTTGGACTTTTCCTTTAAATAATTGTGAAACAGCCGTCCTAAAACATCTTCACTGGCTCAATAAGGCAGCAGATCCACTTCAAGATTCTCCAATGCCATTTAAACCTTTTAATTACCTTGTAAAGTATAATAATTTAATAAGAAGTGCTGATAAATAAAACATATTATCATGTATTATTATTATCATCAAAAACGGGGGAAAATACAATCTATTAATGTGATTTTATAAATCCAAGCTTATAATACTTGTAAAACTGTGTTTTTAAATTACATGGATTGTTGCACCACAAATTGTCCAATTGTTCATGTCATGCATCCATATATTTTATCAGGATAGGGAGAACAGAGATGTAAGAGAAAGTGGAGGAAACAGGAGAAGAGGCTGGAGACTCACAGGTGAGGCTGAAAGATCAAAGAATTGTGACAAATTTTTAGGTGATAATAATCTGCACTTTCAAAGTTCAAACACCATGAATGTATATATTTTATCAGATGAAATAAGCATACTTGCCAGGTGGAGGTTTTTACTGAGGCTGGAGCAGTAAAAAATTGTGTGTGAATGTATTATTTTACCAAGAAAGAACTTTAACTAAGAAGTGAGTTCATGAGCTTGGTGGAAAAACTCGCTGTAGGGAAGGAGTGACATAAACTACTTTATTTGGCAAGTTTTGGTCAGAATTGTTGTTACTTAAACTCTAATTTGGTCATTTTTCCACCTTTCTTATGTTTATCTTAGCTTGGTCTAGTGCAGTCAGGAGTCAGTGAATGTTCAGACAGTAAAGGAGCACAAGATGGAAGAGGAGGGCCAGATCTGGAAAAACAATCTGGAAATGAGTAAAAATGTCTTAAATTAAGTGTATTTACCCTTAATTTGAGTAGGTAATTGAGATAGTTTGCCAATGGAATGAGTATTTTTACTCTTAAAATAAGACAATTAGATATAATGCACTTGAAATAAGACAATGCAATTGTGTTTTCTCATTTTAAGTGTAAATTTTCTTGTTCTATTGGCAAAATGTCTCTTTTACCTCCTTGATGCAAGAACGAATGCACTTATTTTAGGAAAAAATTACTTATCTAGATTTCAACTTTTTTCCAGTGAGAAATATCAGCCCAATCCAAAAGAAATTGCAGTTCACCAATGTGCGAAACAAAACTTTACGTTTCCAAGAGAAAAGGTTTAAAGGATTTAACTTAAATTATGTGTAAAGCAGCAATATAATCTCAGAGGAAATACAAGAAAACACAGTGAACTTATTTATGAGTTATATTTAAATACTTGAATCCAAGGGCGCAGGTTTGATTAGAACTTTGGTAGGGACACTATTGGTCGGGTGTCATTGGTGCTCTGCAATATGCATGCCCTTTTTTATGCTCGATGTGAGCATCCGTACTGATAAGAGGAATTCATTGTTAAAAGAGAAAAGCATCATTTCGCTCCATTAATAAAAATGTTATAAGCTCTACACTCATTAGATGCTGTTTATCAATGTTTGAAGTATCACCGGCTCTGATGAATGTGGAATTAGGACTGTTTTCCACTTTGAAAACGGTTTCATTTGAACGACTAAGAGAGAAGGTAAATAGAGTATTTTCTGTTGAAGATATAGAATTGTGCAGAGTTAAACCCCACTCTAATATTTGTACCTACTATTCTCTCTCTGTATCAAGCAAAATAATACATTCATTCAAATATTAACTTCACTATAAAAGTTGAACATCTGGGCTGTAGTTACTCTGTGTAGCCAATTTCATGTATTTCATCTGGGGCTGAAAAAATGAATCATATTAATTGATTATTTCAATAATCGTCAACTAATTTAGTGAGTGATTCATCATTAACTGGAGTATAGAGACATTAAAACATACAGTAATATAAATGTAAAATGTGCCTTTCCCCACAGAGCAACCCACTTAGATCAGTTATTATATCAAAATTGTAAAAATAAAAACAAAAAAATGAAAACAGTAATATCAACTAAATATCGGTAAAAAGGAAACCCTCACATTTTCTTTTTTAGTTGGCTGTGGCTAAGAATCAGAAATGTTGATGGCTTACAGCCTTTATTTGCCCATTTTTCCAGCAGTCTTTAGAACTCCTGGCTGACTCAGAATATTTCGTTTTATAAAAGAAAAAAAAAAGGGTTTTGTTTTTTAGTGTAAATATATTCATTTTATTGGGTCTAGTTTTGTAGCCTAATATTAATTGTAGTAACCGCTGCATTCTAGTGTGAATAAATTTTCAATGTTGTGCTCCAAGCACACGCGGACTAGAAAACAGCCAATCAGAGGGAGAGAAGGCGGAACTTAAGGCAGAACAACCAATGAGAGTTGAGTTAAACAGCGCAGCACAGTTCCATGCGCTGCTACATGAAAGGGACAGGAGAGACCAGGCAGAGGAGCTGCGAGAGGAAAAGAAGCCTCTGCTGCTATAACTACTGCTGTAAATTATAAACATGTTGCTCACATCCAACTATTGGTAGGGACAATTAGGACGGTTCAAAATTTTGGTAGGGACATGTCCCTATGGTCCCTATGTAAACCTACGCCCATGCTTGAATCCTCTGCACTTCTGATATCAAAATCTCATCCATGGTCATATGATTAGGTTGCTTTCGGTCTTCAGGTCTGTAGTCTGTAGTCAGCCAATGGCTTTTCTAGTGGAGGAAAAACCAGGCCAGTGTTCTGTCAGATGAGCATACCTCATCAGACCAGTATACCCATAGTCAATACGTACACGCAAGACGTCAGTTTTGCGTTTATCCCTTTTTTTTCTACAAAAGTAGTGATTAAACTACCTCAACGGGCGTGCATCCTTCTAGTCATGTACAAAAAAACAACAGTTTAAGGTGGGATCTCCATACATTTCCAAAACAACAAGAAAGTCAGTAATTTAATAGTTTTTTTGTTCATGTCTAAAGGGATACACACCGGTTTAAAGTTTATCTTTTGTACAAAACTAAAGGGATAAACGGGTATTGACTAGTGGTATGATGGTCTGACCGGGTATGCTCATCTGACAGAACACCAGATCTACAATCTGAAAAGCTTTGCACATTGCACGCTAACTGCTAGCTTTTTTCCTCATGGAATCATGGAACCAACAGCTGCAGTCTTTTAAGCTGCGTCAATATTAAATGATTTCAAAACACCAGTTCTGTTTCATGGATGATTTTTTTTAATGTATTCATTTATTTTTGCCAAGCGTATTTTAAGATAATGGATAATACAAATCCAAGTTTAACAAATGTCAACATGTAAAGGAATAACTCAAGAGGTACAGCATACTGCAAAAATGGAAGGGGGAGCAAAGAAAATGTGCAAATAGCAACATTGGCCTCTGCCTAAATAACAACCAGATTCCTAAGATAAAACACTAAAAACCTCTATATATTTTCCTGAAGATAAAGGTTACATTTGGAGAGGTACCCCTCCTTTCAGAGGAAAGTGTTTAAATATACAGTTTTACAAATATTTTTTGTTAAACATTTATGGCAGAATTCTTGAATTCAGAGGATGCAGAGAGAACAGAATGTATATCTGTTATGTTCTCAAATAACATTTAGTTGAAGATTTTTTCTTTCTATCTCTTGCATTTTATTCTGGGTACTTTGTTAAAATCATGATTACGTTAACGATGAGGTTGCTGAAGCTTTT